TGTCCCTCAGGGCACAGTGTGTTGCAATAGTACTTCTGCCTCTTGGAGCATTTTAGCTACTGTCATGTATAGACAAGTTGCTATTTTTCTTGAGACAGAATAAAAACAGGTGATGCTGCCAAAAGAAATTTAAGATACTTCTTTCTAATTGCCTTCACTGACACTGAGAGCCACAAAAACATTTCTCCATCTCTGGATAGCATTCCTCCTGTGTACCCTCATCGTTTTAGTTCTCAGCTCTTCTTTGCCTGTAAATAGCTTTGAAAGAGGGCTTCTGACATACAGATCTATTACTACTCACTTCAGGAATACAGTGCAGCAAAACTCACCATCCCTGACAGTAGTAAACATCCTGTGGATTGTCCCTGTGGAAAGAGGCATATGCCATTTACTAGTTAGTCTGGATGGAGGTTAAGCTATAAGAAAGCTGGGACAGTGTGCCTCTACCATCACTTGTTCTGCAGGAGGAAACAGTGGCTGCCTTCTCTCACGATTTCTAGGAAGAAGCAGACTTTCAGCCTCCAAAATGAGCAATGTCAAACTCCTGTCACAAGGACTAAATCAAACACCAAGGAGCAGGCTGTATAAAGGAGTTAGGTGTTGTGGTCTAAGTGACACCACAGCTGTAGGTGGGTGCAGATGGGCACTGGCAGACACCTTAAAGGAATCTCTCCTAAACAAGCTTTGTCATACAAAGAGCAAAGCTGTTAGCAATTGCAGTGTCTCTCAACGTGAGGGTATCACATAGCTCGTCTTTTGTCCTAATGTTTACTGCATCTGTAAAGGGGGATATTATTACACTGTTAAAAAAGAAATTGGGTATTCCTGAAAGACTCCTTAATAAAACCGGGAAAAAAAAAAAAGCTGTTTAACCAACTGTAAAAGTAAACCTGGTGCTCACTCCCTTTCAGACCCTGAAAATTGGCTGAAAGAGGGATAGGATTTCTGTTTCATAAATGTATTAATAGAATAATTCTGTATTCTTGCATGTCCACAGACTGGAGGTGGCTTTCTCTGAATTTGGCCCCAAATTTAACAGAATCCATGCATTTGTGGAGTTTATTACCCAGCAAGGAGATTTTGTTCTCTGTCTTCAGGGGTTGTTAGGTTGTTTGGCAATCCCTTTGGGGAAGAGCCAATAATCTTTTAACCTCTTTGTGTACTTCAGCCCCAAACATCAATTCCAGTGCACACCCAGCTTTGGAAGATGAAGTCACCATTGGCATCTGGAGGTCTCATTCTGCTGGCAAGAGCTGGTGTGCAGCAACAGCTTTGCCCTTTGTGTCAACAAAGTCTTGGGGTACCTTCGTCAACGGCATTTGTACTTCAGACAAAAAGCAGCTGGTAAAGATCATCATGGTGACAAGTAACATACGCTGCTCCCCTTATTTGTTATTTAAAAGAGTTCTGTGGCCTTCCTTAACTCGGGGCACCCATTAATAGAGTAATTTAACACAGTTGGGAAGCTGCAAGTGAAACAACAGACAAATGAGGAATATTTTCACAGACTCTGTGAGCAAACCTCAGCAAGGGCTGAGGAGCTGATACATGCAGTAAAGTCAGGGAGACACACACCGATTACAGCAGGCTTTGTATCAGCCCCTTAATGTATTCCAATATTGAAACAGTAACTCAAGAATGGATTTAAAGTACACGACTAAGTGCTACACAGAACAATTTTAACAACAGTCACACACATCTGGAAGGAAGTAACATGTGCTTTGTGTTACCTCAAGCCTGAGATGCTGCAAGCAAAAGCAGTCTGTCTTAAATACAAAAAAAGCCCAAACCCAAAAACCCACCCCAAGCTTTTTCTCTGCAGTCTGAGCAAATGGTGTCCGTCAGCTTCTCAGTAACAGAAACCAGATGCAGAATGGCCATCCAGTCCTCTGAGTTTGCCCCCGGTTTAGGCTGCTGAAATCACATTAAAAGAAACGTGTGGAATTGTTCAGAAATGATGTAATAGCCATCCAAATGCAGATTGTAACTCTCTGTTACTGTTCTACCTGCTAATGCAATCATTCTTGGGTGGCTGTGGGGATGCATCAGACATAATAAAACACAGTAGAAATAGCCGTTTGCCTGAAATACTTCAGCAGCTGTTACAAACTTAGTGACTTGAACTAAACGGTTAGATCATGTAAATAACAGAAACTGACTTTCTAGGCCTTTCTAGGGCTTTACGTCTTTGAAGAGAACCTGACCCACTCCAGCAACAGCATGTAACAGATGGAGCATTTGTTTTGAGTAGGAATGATAACCAAAATTGTTACACATACTTTAAGCCTCCTGGGCAACATTAAGGTTTTCCCTTAAATATATATATAATAAGATATTAAAAACAAGGTTTAAACTTTTAATCTTGATAGACTGCACTTTTGGGGACCTGCCCTTTGAACAAATGTTTGATTGCCTCTACCAACTCCATTAGAATGAATACTGCCTCATGATCAGGAAGCTACAGTCAGTTCTCATTAAACACATGAGATACAACAGCTTAAACAGCGCATCAGAAGCCAGTGAGGACAGGAAAATACCACTCTCCCAGTGAAAGACAGAGCAGAGGTCTTTTATTAACAGGTTGTGATTCCTCATGGCCAAGGACATGTGGCCTTTGTCTAAGAGACAATTGAAGACAGAGAGGATGCCAGAATCAGCCCCAAAATGATTTCTTAGTGGTGGGTAGGCAACTGCTGTGTGTAAGACTAAGCAAAAAGGAAAGAAAACATTAATTACTACAGTTATACAGCTCACAAGCTACTATCATCTGGATACTTTTGAGCCATCCATCCCTTTGTTCTCTTGGAAGTAGAGGACATGCATGACACAAAGACCTTTGGCTTGTTTTCTGCCCAGAGAAGGTGTTGTGATTTTAAGGCACTTACACACTGCTATATCTGCCTGGGAACACCTTAGTGTAACTAAGGACCACTACCTGTTGATTCTGCAACAAAAAACCTCTGAAGCCTGAGATGAAAGAAGTGCACCTATAAAATCTTTTGATCGGCCAGTCCCATTTGTTCAGGGATAAGTAATGACCCTAATCTCATTTTTTTTTGTTAAGAGGACCCAGGGGAACAGTGTAGAATGCTTATCACTTCATGCTTCTAATACATTTGTGTGCACTTAGGTTTGATACATAAATTGAATTTTACTACCCTAAAATATTCAGTATTAATCATCTTTTTGTTGATGGCATCAGAGTGGGTTTGTTAAAATGTGGAAACAATCAACACATTGAGGTAATCATACAGTTTTTGAAGCAGGTGGTCATTCTGATGCAGAACACAGTGTACATTTTAAGGAAAGGAGAATAAATTTACAGGATCTTGGATTCAGTCTTGGCTGTTTCCATTGGGCTGCACATCACTGCTTCTCTGTGGTAACTGTGTTTATGAAATCCCAGCCAGCTCCCACTAACCTCCCCCCATCCACCTCCACCACTCATTTAGCATTTATACATAGCATGCATTTCTGTAATGAATAAATGAATTAAGATAGATTGAATTTCCCCCTAGAAACAGGATCTACTTAAAAAGTAAACAAAAGATTATCATCTATTTAACTTTTGTAGTATAAATGCTCTGATGCAGTTAGCCAGACATGAAAAAGACTCAGTTCTACCATCCATTCTAAAGCTCCTTAATCACTGTACCATATAAAAATGTCATTTTCTCAGGTTTGGGATATATCTGGACATTTCCCATAGGCTTTAATAGAACCAGACCTACATGAACATGAACTAAATCCTCTCTCCCTTCTGTGTCTTTAGTGAATCTAGATACTTTCTGCTTATTGTATGTTATTAGTATTTTATAAACATTGAGGTTTAATGCCTTCTAGCTTTCATTGCTCTAAATGCTTAAGACTGATTCTTTCCAAGAGATCTGCATAGCTTGAACACATAGTGTGAGCTGGCATGAAAATTACTTGATGAGCCTCTAGAGCCCATGTTTAACTGCAGGTCTCACTGGCCAAATGTTAACAGCCTCACAGGGCCTGCAAAAGCTGCAAATGTGGACAAAGTCTACAAAGGAATCTCACTGATTGCTGTTTTCTGGCTTTTCTGCAGCAAAAGTTGAACTCCTCTTCATATTGCTTGATTCGTGAAGTAAAGGGTCACAGATGCTACTTTAAGCAATCTGAGCAGGTAATTTTATAGTGCGGCAGGAGAAGGGATATAGATCTCACTTATTGGGAGGTGATGAAGATTAAAATGGGCTTCAAAGGGGGAGCAAATGGAACAAGCACTGACCCCAACTACTGGGCAAAAATGAAAGGCAGGGAGCAGAAAGTTACAGTGACAGGGACATCCAGCTGCCTTCACCAACTGCAGAGGCTCCTGAAATACATACACATTTGCAGGTTTGATCCCACATTTCTCCACAGTTGTCTGTTCAAATTCTACTAAGGCACTCAAAGCAACAAAGCACTTTGTGATCTTACCTCCCAAGAGCTTCTGCCCGAGAGAAAAAACTGTCAAATTGCCAACAAGGAGCATTGAAGAAAAGCACTAGAGGTTGAAGGAGCCTTTTTTTACTTTTTCAGGAATATTGTTTTTCCAGTTTGAAATTCCGAATTTCTTTTTCAGTTTGGAGAAGTTGCTGTGAATACCTCCCCCCATAATACCCACTAAATAACCTGATTCTGCTTCTCCCATAGAATTTCCGAGTGCTGCCCTTATTCAGTAATGAGGCTGAGCCTGTTTCCCTGCTTCTCAAAAGCACTGCAGAGCGCAAATGTTTGTCTGCTCATTACACATCTTGGAGAAGCTTACACTTCTGAACTGCTGGTTGCACGAGTAATAATGCTTTATTGTGGCAAGAGTTCACTGTAAATGTCTATTAAGCGAGACATCTATTTAAGGAGGACCAGAGTGCACCTCTCATGCCAGGGTGGGAGTTAAAATATAAGAGCTATTTGGCTACATTAATATGGTTACAAGGTCTATCAAGTCTTGATTTTGTCTCCTCATTTTGAAGTTCATGACATGGGGCAAACACACCAGCTAAATGTAATGTGGCATCTGGTCTTCTGTCAAGGCAGGCAGGAGTGAGGGTTTTAGGCTTTGACATGTTGACCAGACATGAAGAAAATGGGAAACTCTCTTGCTGCCCTGATGGAGTAACTTTGCCCATTCCTCATTTCAATTTATCAATGCAGAGAGAAGAGAGAAGCAGAGACAGTTCTGCTGCAGCTTTCCTATTCTTCATTCCTCTCAGATGAGATCTTCCATTCTTGGTCCCTCACCTACAGAAATACAGTAATTGCCATGTACCTCAAAAGACCTCTGCCCTAGTCCTCTAGACTTAAATAAGCTTCTTCCCCAGCAATGTCACTGCCTCCTGACCTACAACCTGGAAACTTACACCCCAATACCATCAGGTTATTGAGAAAACCTTTTGTCAACACAGTAATGAAGGTCTCAGTACTGCCTGCTCTGAAGACATCCCTGGTTTGACATATGCTAGATTCAGGGGCTATGAGATGAAGCAGGGTTCTTCATCATGTCAAGATAAGCTTGGAAGATCTGGCAAGACAAAGAACCAAACAAAGTCAAGGTCTCATCTCAAGTTCTGTTCTCTCCAAGTAGTTTATCCCAAGGGAAAGATGACTTATAGAGCTGTCCTGGCACCATGTCCTGTGCTTAGTCTTCTAGTTATCAGTAGCTCATTTTCATTATGTTTATTTTTTCCATGAAGTCATTGTCTATATCTAAATAAAGTAGGTTTAGATTACATAAGGAAATTCCAATGTCTTCACTTCTCTCACACAAAGCTCAACATAACAACCCCATAGGTCTATTCCTGTAAACCTTAACAGAAGATAGTGGAACATAATACCACACGAGATAATTCCTACTAATAAACCATGCCTCTGTCTAAGAGATTACCTCTCAAGGCTCCAGTTTCTAAGTGTAACTGACTGTATTTAAGAACTTTCTGCTGCAGCAGCAGATAGTTAAGCAAGTGTCTCTGTTTCATTACTTTAAAACTTAAAATATCTGTATTTCAGTTTTACACACACACGTATTTTTGAACTAATTGTTCAGTACAGAGAAGGCTGAAAATCCAGATTTAGGCAGGGCAATACAAAAGGTCTGTAATACAAACAAGCACAGGTTCATCATCAACCAACCCAAAATCTGTAAGGTGCAGAGAATGCCACTTTAAGAACACAAACCGAGAAGTGTTCCTTAGCTCTCATTCACGTCAGTGGACTTCCTAAGGATATGCTTGAAGTGGGATGGAAAAGAGAACATGTTGAAACATGTAGCAACACCCTACAGACCCAAATGGCCTCGCTATATATTGTACAGATGTTTTGAGTTTGAGTACATAGTAGATCCCTAGGGAGGCATTACTTCCCTCTAGTTCAAGCCTACAGTGGTGGTGATCACATGGAGCACCCTGTCTGCATGTGATGAGATTTTCATGCCACCCATGCAAGCAGGCAAATAGAAGCTCATTTATTAACTAGTCTCGTTTGTATAAAAGAAAAATCCAAAACCATAGGGTCTCTGCAGCCTCCACTCTCTGAATACATTCACCCCTTGCAACTCACAGGCTAACACAGAACGAAGGAAATAAGGTTTTGTGGCCCTATCATTAAAATATTGGCAACTGTAGCCACACATACCATACTTGAGGGAATTAATCACTCATTCCCCCTCTAAGGGACCTAGTCAAATAGCTACCATTAGTGTCATAGAAGCCAAGCCAAATCAAAACCCCTATGCCAGTGGCATGTCAGTGTTTGTATCTTCATCAGGAATGCCAATGCCTTCTGGAAATACAAACGTCATGACTTGAATTTGTGATTTATTTTCAGCTTCCAGAAGAAATGTAACAACCGAGATCTATGCAGAGGGTTCCTGTGCCGCCTCCCTGCTCCAAACCACTGAAAGCTTCTCAAAGCCGTATCTTTCAGCTGGCATCAACTGGCATAGCCACTGATTTCAAATGCACTAAGCTGATTTATGCCAGCTGTGAGGTGGCCACTATAAATTAACAGATACCTATGAGCTGATCAGAAGTCTAATACCTGTGTACAGATACCGTGCTATTTCACAATATTACAAGGTAATTCCTTGAGTTGCTAGTTTGCTTCTAAGTTCTTTGAGGAGTGATTAATTCACCCAAGTGACCATGGTAAGTGAAGTTTTCCAGCAGATAGCAACACTGACAGTTCCTTTGAGTAAAACAAAGGCTAAAGTTGTTCCCAGTTATTGCTGCAAATTACACAAGTGCCAGCAAATGCGTGGACATCACTTAAAATGCTTTAAGATCTGAGAGTGATTTACTTTTTGCTTGTATTAAATAACACATAAATGTCTGTTTTCACTTTTGGAAAAGACTTCTGACATTTGACTGAGTACATTTAGGACCCCACAATTCCCACTGCTGGAAGTCTCTCTGATTCTTGAATACCAGACCACATTACTTTGAGCTCCAGCTTGGCATCTTCCATAGGTAGATGACATGACAGTAACCCATACAAGCTCAGAGAATATGGCCTTTGTATCTGGTAAGTAGAAGAAAAATCAACTAATTTGTCAATGCCTTGGTACAAACAGTGGGGAAGTCCAGCATTCCTTTACTACAAGAAACTGTGCTTCAGATTGTCACCAACAGTACATCACAGAGTGAGATTAAGTAATTATGAACTAGGACTTGAACACATGCCCTCTCACCTAAGGAAAGGATAACAAAACATTTACAGCACCAGCCCATGCACATGAATAAAGATGACCCTGAGTAAGTACCTATGAAGTGATTTAGCTGCTGTCAGAGAAGCCAAATGCCCAGGAAATCCTTCATGCATTTATTTGCCATATTGCACCCAGCTGTTAGTACAGATTCTTGTATTATAGATGAAGAACAGAGAGGCTTAAGTCCAGATTCTGTAAACTATTTAGTCACCTCATCTCAGTTCAGTTGCATCTCTCAGGGTCTGCCTACATGATTTTACTGGGTTATTCATGATGCTTGCTCTAGAAACAGTATTTCCGTCATAGCTTACAAAATCTAAACAATTCCAGTCTTACATTTAGTCACTGGCCACCTGCCCATCTGAGAAATGGCATTTATAGAAGACTACAACAAAAATCACACCCTCTTACAAACATTATCTGAGAGCCACTGCTTGTTCCTAACTTCACTTCGCTTTGGAAAGCAGAGGAAAGCATTTTCCTACAGCTCTACAGCACCCTCTATTGTTTTCTTTTTCTAATCAAAATTTACATTGCTGTGGCATTAACAAAAAAGAGCATATGCAGTCTTTTTCTAAAGCAGCATAAAAATAAGGATCAGTAATATAGTACTGTGCAACCAGAAGGCAAGGAAAGCAAACGGTTATAGGTAAGTTTCTGTATCAGTTCACTGATCAAATAAAAACGCTTCCTTGAAGAGAGATTTTAGCTACCCACTTCAGCAAAGAGTTGAGCCTAACAATGCAGAAGCTTTGTCTAGTAAGACCTGAGTAGTGGCTACAGAATTTAACCTTATAAATGTAAACTGGAAACCATAATACACAACATTATACTAGGGCAACTATGAACTATGTGAAATAGGTCTGAAGGTACGTTAAGTGTTCTCAGATGATGAATTTGTAAGATGTGTTTTGGGTAGTTACAGAAAGTGCCAAATGGATTCAGTTTGTCAGACGCTTAATTCAGCCACTGCATGGCTACACATTATTAGCACTTGTTACAGACTTCAAGTGGAGGTGGGGAACCAAAAAGCCTAACACACAAAACACACACTCAAAGCAAGATTTAACTTTGAGTTGGACAGAGCCCGTTTGCATGTGAAGAAATACAATTGATCTGAGGATCTTCTAGAAATTCTTTGTTCCCTGAAGCTACTTAAGAACAATTTCCATGGCTGTCTCTTGAAATGCTTGTTTCAACTGAACTCACAAACTTGCCACCATTCTCTGAATTCCTTATTGCCTCCTAAGTGATGAATATAACCCAGTACTGAAGTGGCACATGTAAATTTGCAGAGGTCAAATGCAGAGCTTCATAAAGTTTCATAGAAGATATAAGAGAGTCAAAAATCAAATCCAAGGCTCATGAAGGGCCTGAGCTCTTTAACAACTGCTGTGGCTCAATACAAAGATAGAAAAATTGCCCAGAGCCAGGCAGAGTTAAACATGGAGGTGAATTTAGAAGCAAGTACATCTGGAAACCCAGGAGCAAGTTAAAAGCCACATAACGCATATTTAACTTCCTCCTGGGTTTTCTCAGCAGGGCAGAAGACTTGCCAGGGACTTGCTTGTGTAAGGCTTATGCCAGAACAAGACAGATGGGACTGGATGCGCGTGATGGAGCGCATCTTCTGGTCCCTGAGACAGAGGGTGGGTCAGAGCCAACATCTTGTCTAAATCCCCTATCTTATAGTTAGAATTCAAGTTTCTTTTCTTGTTATCTAGACCTGACAGAATCTTGGGTGTTCCAAATCAGAGGAAGTTCAATTAAATGGATGTACCATTAAACGTCAGACCACAGCGGATACTGCAGCATCAGAACTTAAAAGTCAGTTACGCCAGGAGTGAGATAACATGTGAAATGTCAGAGCAAATAATCTGCTGTATTAACCCCCTGGAGCCAGAATGAAACAACTGGTAAAGAAAGTTACTATTTTTCATTACTAACTTAGCAGCTGGTGGTTGGTTCAGGGAATTCTATGCTCTCACCCCCTTACAAGCTCCTCTAAGACATACTTTAAAAACAGGGTGAAAGGAATACAAGATAGCAGAGGTTGGTAGCATGTAAAAATAGGCAGTCAACAATTACATGTAAAGATTCCTTGAAAACCAAAGCCCTGCAATAGGAAATCAATACGGTGTCTGATACAAAATGGGTCAGGATATCTTAGGCAATATATAATGAGTAGTGAAGGATTTTCACTAGCTTTCAAAAGATCAACAGATCAGTATTACAAGCTTCTGTAAAAACCTGGCTTTGTGCTCTGTTAGTAACTTAGCTTGCACTGCACCCAGAATAACTATTTCAATGAATGTTTCTGGAAAATACTGTGATTTAAATATAGATCAATGGCAGTCACACTGCCCTGAAATCAATTCAAAGAATTAAAGTCAACCCAGCAAATCTACTGCAAAAAAAAGAAGCAAAACTATCACTTTCAGCAATATAAGCTGAATATAACTTCAGCATTTCTTCTATTTGCCTCCTGTTTGGAATGTCAACTTCCTGTGTGATGCTTTACAGTGTCCAAGTGCCTTTTTATTTTACTTACAAGCCAGCACTTCCATGCAAAATGGATGAAGAGGACAGGAGAGCTAGAATGCTGTAAAAGAACTGAGTGATCAGAAGGACCAGAATTACATGCATGGATAACATTTGAACAGAACAAAAAAATGCAGCACTGTTCCCTTAGGAAGCGGAACCAAAATACACCACTGCAATGTAGGAACTTGTCAGTTTAAAATGACTCACAAAGCAAAAGCTCTCAGCTGCATAGGTATTCATGTAACAGGTGTCGGATTAAAGTTAAGGCACAAACTTCCAGTAAACATATAAAAAGTACACACACAACCTTGTGTGCTATGTACTCATGTTCAGGAGCAACTACTCCAAGTACCTATCAGTAAGAGGTCACAAACATTGCCTTCACCAACAGAGTAAACAGTCCTGTACTGTATCCTGGCTCAGCAAAATTAAGGTAGCACAGGCATGCAAGTGGCTTCAATAAACAATCCAGGAACAGGGCTGGGCCCTGGCCCACCTACAACATAGTGTAAAGGAGTACAGGATACCACAGCCCAAGCTGAAACAGGATCTGTGCGCCCATGGAGAGGGGGTGGATAAGGGTCCCTGGTGAGGCTGCTTAGGGCCACCAAGACCCAATACTGCTCTCAGGACTCTGACAACTGGATTCACAGATGACAGCAGGTTTAGAACTGAGTATTATTTTCCCTCTGATCAGCATGTACACATCAACAGCACTGCAGGGATGAGCTGCATCCTTGTGCTTTAGTTAAGTGGGAAGGGTAAGAAATCCCTGGAGAGATTTCACCTCTGTTGGTGTGTTTAGTGTCCTCCCCTCCAGAACATGAAATGGATCTTTCATTGCATACTCCTGACCTGTACCAGTATTACTGCCCCTTGTGGTGGTTGGTTGGGGTTTTGGGGTGGTTCTTTTTTGTTTTGTTTTTTTAACAAAAGATAAATGTTCTCACAATTATAACTTTTATACTATAAGGAGATACCAATCTGTCACTGTCCTGCTCCACAGAAATATGACAGTTTAACTTGGAGCTGTATTGCCCAATACTGGATACACCCAGCAGCAGCTCCAGAGGCCAAGTCTACCTTTATGCTTGTGAAAACACCCTACCTTCCCTGCATCTCAAAGCATCCCAGAAGCACATGCAACTTTCAGTTTTGCTGCCCATAACGCTCAGATATGCCAGTTTCCCAATGCTGTATCTTTCATAGCAAGTAACTCTTCACAGAAATGGCCTTCTGGATGAGGAGATGTTGCGAATAATTTCATAAATACGAAAATAATGTCCATATAATGTCTGTATCTAACAGCATATCACATGAGAATACTCCAGCAACTCATGAAAGTTTTCAGACTTGAAGGAAAAGGCCTCAGGTTGGAAAATTACTGAGATTCCAAAGTATTCAAGTAAGTGCTGGAATGAAATACTGAAGCGAAACATCCTCATGAAGCAAGATGAAGTGGACAATTCTTTTACTTACAATATCTGTAAAGAGAAAAAAAACACCACAAATCCAGTTTAAAGCAGGAAAAATACTTTGTGTCTTCTGCACAATGCCAACAACAGAATACAATGTTTTACCACTTCTGATAGCAGGATGACAAGACATATCATCCTGTAATATTTAAGTCCTTGAGGGTCTACAAAGCATTACTAAAGGATCTATGAAAGTTGATACCAAAAAGGAAATATGTAATGTACAGGCCTATAATGCTGCACCCATGACTTACATCTTCCTCAGGAAGTTCTTAGTACCTGCATTAAAGCATAACTCACAGATGTTCTCAGGAAAAGCATGCAAAGTTATCAAAATCAAATACAAAACCCTGTTAGAAACTGGGGGCTTTAAGAAACATTAGAAGTCCTCAGGTATAGTAAAACCAGTCAAGTTTCAAACAGACAAAACAGAAGATCTGCTGTTCTGCTGAGACAAATATGGCAAACATCTGTCCTTTACTGGAGTTACCAAGCAGAGCTGCTGAACTTACTGCACAGTGCTTTTGTGGGGTTGACCTGCTGTCCAGCAAGCAGCTGCTGCAGCTTCCTGATGTCTATGCAAGCCTCAGCCATGCTTTCTGGATCTCTGTCTTGAGAACTCTGACATCCATCCTCTAATGCTAAAAGCATAAGAACACAACACTTGGTCAAAACATCAGGAGCTGCAAAACATATAGGAACACACCTGATAATCACTGAACAGCTGGAAAGGGGCTGTTTTCAGAAACAGCAGTACAAGGAAGAGAAAGCCCAGTCTTCCTACCAAGTGGTTAAAGATACTGGAATTCCCTCACTAACATGAAATAACCACTGGCCGCTTTTTAAGATTTCATTGGAAAATAACTCAATGTATTTGATGCTATTTTGTAAGGACTACCAGAAGGTAAGTACCGTTATCAGCATCACACTGAGATCAGACAGCCACAAGAGGCAACAAACCTGGAAACTTACCCCAGGAAGGATTTCCCAAGTCTTTAAAATGTGTTGTTACACAAACTAAGTCAGTTTCTACTTTCAAGTTCATTTCTCCGCTCAAGTTTGCTTCAATCATCTGCAATACAACCAATCTCAGTTTTAGGCAAGCCTCTTTCACACTGAAGAATTACAGAAGAATGAAGTGCAGCTTTGTTCAAATAGGAGCTGCCAGACACACTTCAGTGCCTTCATAGCTCAACTGTACTTTCTGAAGATGATTTGAACATTTGAAAGTTCAGCTACATAAAGCATTTCTCATCATTCCTGTGAGATGTATCCTAGATCAACCTCCCTGAAATTATGGAAAGAAAGAAATGCCATTGCTCTCCAGTACCTCTACAGCAAGCACTGGCTTTGGGAAGCTGATGGGTTCAGGAAAGGCTTTAGAAATAGGAGACTGAAGCTAGAGAAATGCAAGGTTTCCTGCATTTGCACCGGCACTCCACAAAGCCAGGGTGGACTGGAAAGCCACCATGTCAGCGTTTGGAGTACAGGCTGACAACCAGGAGCTCTCCATAGGATTTCCTTTAAATCCCACCTCAAGTCTACCTTAAGTTAGACCTACCTTCCAGCCACAACTCACTTAATGGGCATTTCTTTAATGAAATCACCTCAGAAGTGTCTAGGTGGCTTCCTCAACAACCACAATTTTCTACTAGCTATGAAGGGTGGCTTGTAGCAACACAATTCTTTCAAGGATTCAGTTTAAAGAGGGAAAGCTTCCAAGAAGCCCAGGACAAGCTCTTCAGTGCTAATCCTAAAACAAATCCCATTATTCTCTTCAACCCTTACAGAGTCTTCAGATGCCTTTAGTGCAATGTCTTATCCCAAAATAAGATGTAACATGGCAGACCAGTTTGGGCAACAGGGAAACATGCTATGTCCAGGAAAAAACAAGGTCTGTAGGACACACATCTCAAGTGCTTTAACTTACAACATTATTGCTGAGATTCCTCATTCTCTCCACAACACTCTTCATTGTTTTCAGCGCTGGTAGGTAAATACTGACCTAGAAAGACATAAGAACTGCATTGGCACAAGTATTTCATGTGTGACTGGGATGTGATGCATTTATTTCTCCCTTCAATCCTATCTTGTTTTAGGGTCTGTTATCTACTGAGTGCAGGAAGCACAATATTTAACTGAAATCAGCAAAGGTCTCAGGAACAGAGGAACTCTTTCCCATTATACCAACATGCCGTTGCTCTGGCAATCGCTTCAGATATACAATCCCAACTGTGTTCAAAATAAATGAGAGACAGGTTTTTGCAGATCAGATTCTCACTTGAACCCACATATGTGTTACTGAGCAGTGAAACAGTTACTACAACCAAAAAGGGAATAACACAATCCCCATGGTACTGTAATCATTTCTGGAACTGCATCAGCGAAAGCTGAAATAACAGAACAAAACGCATCAAGTTTCTAAATTCTAGAAGTCTTACGTCTTCAGAATTTAAATGCTCTCAACTATAGAAGTAACCGACATTCATAATCTCAAATAGGAGCACATCTGCACAAAGTCCTTTCCTTAAAAGTATGCTAAAAGCCAAAAAGGATATAAAAAGATATATAAAAATCAGGAGGAAACACACATAGACCTAACTCTGCCAGGTAGGCCACGAATTTCAGAAAGAACAGATTATTTAGGCCACCTGGTACCTAAACAGCCAAAACCTGTGTGATTTGGAATTACTCCTACCTAAGCAATGCAAGTCCTCTGCTCCTCCCTTCCTTCATCCTGAGTATCACAGCAATGACTGGTAATGATCTGCTCTGTTTCTACAGGTTCTGGAGACTCCCTTGTCAAGATGGAACCCATATCCCATCACTCTCCAAACCTCTAGCTTCCAGCCTTCCCTCTTTCCTTTCAGCTTCTCTCCAAACCTCACTGGTAGTATACACCACAGCAACAGCATTCCACTTGCAACCTCCCCTTTCCATAGGGAATATAAAACAAGACACTTACATCAAAGTCTGGCACACTGGGCTCTTTGAAGTCATTCCATAATCTTCTGGGAATAACCCCCACAGGAATGTCATGTGTCACAATCCTACTGGTGCTTGCTAAGGATGGCTTGAGAGAAGAGAGAGGATGCGCTTGCAGTTAAAAACAAAACTGGAATTCTAAATTCAAACTTTTCAGAGCCACTCTGGGAAATACTATAACTGAGTGCAACAGACACTCAGTTCCAGTTTTCCATAGGTTCCTAACAGTCTGCTATTAAAGACACAAGCAAAACAGAGCCAAAAACTACACTGAAACCTCCTTCACCTAATGGCTTCAGTGAGAAAGCAATAAACCACACATTTAGAGAATGAAGGAATGGAGAAAAGTAGACATCAGAAAAAGGTGTTTAAAGCACATATCTTTCATTCTTCAACCATCTTTTCCTTGCTTTTTGGACAACACAAGCTTGGCTCGGTGTGCTACCACTCATGATGGCACGAAAGGCTAATGGAAAATGGCATTTTTCTTCCTTTATTGTTCTAGAATTAACAAAAGCTTCTATTTGATCTTAGGAAAAGCACTTGATTTCTAAAAGCTTTTTCTTAGTAATGAAGATAAAAGCATGGTTGCACTTACCAGCTCCACAGCGACTCTGAGACAGGGACAGTGTTTGTTAGTCAACTTCATCTTCACTGCCTTAGCATTGTGGGCAGTTTTCAATGCTCTCGACAGGTTCTCAGGCATCAGCTCTAAATAGATCTCATTGTGCTCTGCAGCCACTCCTTCCATCTGAAATTCATCGAAGAAATTCCCCTACAGGTTTTTAAGTTGGGAAATAAAACACAGCAAATGAAAATACAACAGAAGGGTAAGTTTTACCTATCAGAACTCACGCTTAGTATGGAACGTGGACAACAGGAAGCTTTCCTGTGCCTGGCATCACCTGCAAGAGTCAAGACAGGCTGCAGAGGCACAAAGGCCGCTTGCTTGAAGCTAAATGTATTGGTTTCAGATCCTTCCTTAACAACTACCAGCCCTCAAAACCAGGGGTGTAAGAAGTGAGTTACAGTTTCCTGTTGCCAGCTTTGACCCTTGTGGGCCAGCCCACACCAAAGTTTTACATGAAGTGACAACCAAATAGAATGTCCAGCCAGAAACATGAGGTCTGTGTAACCAAAAGGCAGTCCTGAAAGGCAGAATGCTTTCAGTGAACAAGCCAACACAGGACTCAGGCCTGGCACATCTCAAGCGAGGGCTGCACAGACAATAAACCACCCTGTACACCAGACCCAACTGCCCGCTCTGGTCTTCAGTGCCGTGGGGCTGTTGAGTGTCCTGGGCTTACCTGGTTCAGCTCACACCACATACCCACACCTCCATTGGCTACTTTATCAGCGAGGATGAAATACAGCTTGCTGACAGTCAGGCGCAGGGTGCAGGTCTTGGCTAACTTGGCGATTGTGTTAATTACACCTGGCGGAGGAAGGAAGGGGAATGTTACAGCGGGAACCGCTCCCCACATTCATCCCAGGGGAGCGTTCGGTCTCCACAAACGCAGCTGCGGAAGCTCCTAAAATACTTCAGGGCGAAGAGAAGCTGTGGCTGCCCCATCCCTGGGAGTGTTCAAAGCCAGGTTGGAGCAACCTGCTCTAGTGGAAGGTGCCCCTGCCCACGGCAGGGGGTTCGAACTGGATGAGCTTTAAGGTCCTTTCCAACCCAAACCAGCCTGGACTGCATGAAAAGCGCCTCAGGCTGCCTCCCCCCCCTCACACCCGGTAAAGGTGTCCGGGCCTCACGGCGCGGGCCGGGGCTACCCCGCGTACCGCCCTTCCCCTTCCTTGGTACAGAAGGTTCCGCCCGCCCTCCCGTCCCCCTGCCCGGGCACACTCACGGCTGAAGTGGTTGAGGCAGGCGAGGTCCACGATCTTAGCACGGAAGCGCATGGCGGCTCCCAGCCCTTCGCCTCAGCACCGCCCGCCGCCGGCGCACGGCAGAGGGCGGAGTCTGTCAGGAAAAGGGCGGGCAGCGCCAGGCCCAGCCCTGCCGCTCGGCGGGTAAGGGGTCCAACAGGGAGCGTTGGTGAGGGGAGAAGCGGCAGCCATGTGAGAGAGCAGAGCTCTGGAGCAGGCATTTCCTCTTTCCCATCCCCAGCCGAGCCACCCAGAGCAATCGAAACACCTGAAGTGCGTTGAGAAAGGACGTACCCTGCAGGCAGGCTGCCTTTGCCCTGTGCTGTTTCAGTGCCTGGTGTGCAGGGCTCTATGCCGAGACAGGGATCACCTACAAAGCAAGGGAAAACCTTGCTTTACCTATCCTGTCCATGTGCTGGGTGACTTTCCGACAAGAGACTTGGTCCTTTGCCTCTGTGGTGCTCTTAAGGACTGCAAGGAGCTAAATACTTTTGTCCCCTTGGGTTCCTCAGTGTGCTTTTGTCACACTGCAAGCTCCCCAGCTAAACTGCCTTTCCTTTCATGTTTAAACACTCTAGGGATGCTGCTCACAGTGCTCTGATGCTGCGTGTTGACCCAGTCATTACGAAGGAAATTAAAGACCAAAAGAAACAACCGTGTGTCTACATACCACCACACAGAGGGATACAGGCTGGAGAGGGTATTCTCTAGCTGCGCTGCTCCCAGGCCCTTGGCGCATCCCAGACATCAGCTGAAGACTGGTGCAGAGAAACCACTGCAATGTCATGGGCAGTTCATTGAGTGAAATGAACTCACAGGTACCTTCCTCCTGCCCCTAAAACAGTATGTATATAATCCAGAAACAGGAGTTCGTTCTGTGCACTTTAAAAAGGCCAATGAGAACACAACGGTGTTTGCTTCTTTTATTACGAAAGGTACAAAACCACAGGGTGTAGTGAAGCTATCGTTAGAAACGTGAACTTTTGTTGAGCCAACTTTCTATTTACATACACAAAATTCCCCAAGTGGAACAATATCAAATGTGAGACACATTATCAGAATAACATATATACAGGTTCAGAGATTTAGTATCTCTGTTACTCTATACATGATTGTTACACAAAAAGTCAATTCCTATCTTTCTTACACAAGTATTTTAAATTAAGCTTAGGAGGCTACTCAAGCAAAACAAAGCAGAATCTGAGCACAGTTCTGCTATCAGTTACTTTATAAATATAGTACAAAATGACAGCCAGGTTTTCAGCCGGGCTCAATCTTCTGTTGTGTCAAATATCCCATGCTCCAAACTGATGGAAGTAAAATAGCAAACTATTAATAATCGTTATTGACATCAAACCAGATATATCTCAGGAGCTGGAGACACACTGGTTCTCAGATTACTGATCAGTTATTAGGAAAAGCAAGTGTTTTTACCTATTTTTTGTACACCCCTCAAACAGAAAACCCAAATAAAATACTTGAGTTTGCTTTGTATGATCAGACATTCTGTTAAAACAATCATCATAAAAAAGGACCACAGCACATATTGTTTTTAACTGGGACCAACTACTTAGTAAAATAAGGCACTTCTTCCTTTAGTTCAGTCCGCTTCCCTAGACTTTAGTTTAGCTCCATTTTACACAGAGAAGTGATTTTAGCTATGCCACTTGTGACAGCAAAAGGGATGCTGTTAAGAACTGTTGCTCTCCAAGCGTGGATGGCCTCAACAATACCTTCTGGGTTGCTTGAAGCCAAGTCACACAGTGAATATATGGCTGCCAGCTGCACACCCCAGGGAACACCTGCAGAAAGTTAACACAAATCAAGTTTATAGAAACTTTGATATGCAGTTAATGTTCCTGGGAAACGTGAATCTATAGGTGAGTTCAAGAACTGGAATTAAAACACGTCAACAATTGGGATGCCTAAATCCAGAAAGCAGCAAGATGACAACCTGCACACAAATTCCTTAACACCTCATTTCATACTAGCAATTTCCAGTTTTCTGAATTCAGCAGGTTTTCAGTATTCAAAGGGCATAAAAGATGCTCACATCTAGTGATTTTACTCTAGTTATGGGTGATCAACAGATTTACACAGTGTGAAACAGACATTTACCACTTGGAAGAACCTGAGATTGCAAGGAAGAAAAGCTATACAAGTGGTTCAAAACAAGTCCCTAACATCAACCAGTGCTTCACTGCAAAATGTACTTAACCTCTGGAATAACTTAGCAATATAGATCTCTGCTGCCCTAATTGCCCTGCTTTGTCTCACTCAGGAATTCTGACTCTCTTGTTATCCTCTCTCCATACAACAATCTTGCTAATAGGAAGCTTCTGCATGAGCTGTTCAGGTAACAAATTTGGTATCACTGCTCAAGTTAAGATAACTCTTTAAGTTCTCTGAGGCAGTTTATATGCTGTTACATGAAGCAGTGTAATTCCAAGGTGGCTAAAACTATGTCAGATTTGCTCATGGTCTTAAACAGAAGGTAACATGTTTCATTATGAGCATACATGTTTCATTAACTTCAGAAGAGAGAGGGACTCAAACCCAGAGCTGTTTGTCCTGTTACACACTAGGATACAACTGCACAAGCAAGCTGCTTTGGCATACGTGTCTCAATCTGTGCATGTCCTTGTTTGCACTGGCAAAGCTTCACACTGCAGATGTTACACTGAAGTTATGCTAAATAAACATTACCTTCCTCTTTTGCCTGCTGTACAAACAGTCCAATTACAGAACTAATATTCTTCACTGCAGCAAGATATCCTTCCTTCAAACCTATCTGGCCCAATCGACCTGAAAGAAAAAGAAAGGTTACTACGTGCCTGACATTCAGTCAACCTCCTAATTTTTAGATTGATGATTGTTGAAATATCAACAGAAAATGCAAATTTCCATGACAAAAACTATTCACTGTTGTTGCCATGCTGTCTTGGGAACAACAGCTCTTCTGTTCCTTTTGTTACTAAAAACCCCAAGGCATTTTCCATCAGATTGAACTACTACAGGTTTACAATTTTTAAGTGTAAAACTCAAGGAATGCAGTTTCTCTTTGACAAACAACATGATACAGCCTATACACAGAAAACACCTATTGCAGCCCGAAGTTCATCTATTTACCTGAATGCCATCTACATCCCAAATAAATGAATCTAACTTACAATTGCAAGAAGACATTATGTTGCAAACACAACCTTATTTTATGCACTTTGCAATAAAGCATACGTCGTTACAATTTCAAATACATAGAAGATGTTGGTATTTGTTACTGTGTAATGAAAGTAACATCAGAGAAACTTAAGTACCTGCTTTCCACAGGCTGGCAAACAGAAAATATCTGCATAGGACTGTAAACTATTTTTAAGGTGAAAATTGTTGAAAAATGTGAAAAAAAAATTAAAATCAAGATTAAAAAAGAAGTCCAAATACTTCAATTCAGTTTTGAGGCAGGCTCACACTTGCAAAAGACATACTTAAAGAAAGCAGATGTGCAACCAAGAATTTAGATGACTTACCAATTAGCCTGAGGATCAGTGCTGTAACACTGTCAGAAATGGACTGAGCAGTTTCAGGCCCCTTTCTCTTCTTTATCCATTTATCCATAGAAGGCCAAAGCACTTTGCTGTGAAAGGTAAGTGAATTTGGTAACCTGACGCTGCATGAAGGGGCAGCACAATATTCATACAATAATGAATGCAAATGGTTCTTCTGTTTACCATATTTCCAAAGCTCCGGTTGCATTTTTAATTCATATTCTCAGGAATTCAAAATATTCCAAGTATCCACAAATATGAGTTATTTAAAGGTTTTAAACCCAAAGAATCAAAGCTAACTTTCTGAAGGAATCATTCCTGTTCTGAATTGCATTCCTGTTCATCTTGTATTCATTTCCCTGCAACACCTGCATCACTACCTCAAGGCAAGAGCTTACTCTATTGACTTCATATATATATATGAAATTGTGTTACTTTCAAATGTCATGCTAAGATGTTATGCAAGCTTTCTGTATGACTGAAAATTCACAGTTGGCATGTTACAGGATCTCAAATCTTTCCCAGTTGCCCACATGTAGCTATTTTAGAAACAATTCTTTATTAGAATGGTTCAAACAGGGTTAACTTCTTGTACCAATACCATAAATTCCTATAATTTCCTCATTGATCATTTGTTCTATCTTAAAACAAGGAACACACAACACAGTAATCTAAGTTTCATCAGATTAAACCACCCTTATTTTTAAGTACCTATGCAATATTATGTGAAAAGCTAAGTCAATGTCTCAAATTTGGGGGAAAAAAAAGCCCACCACCAAATCAACCACAAAAATCCTACACAGGGAAATATCTGAAAGAGCTACTTGCCACAATACCTTATAACATTGTCATGTGTCCAGTCCCACTTCAGGTGAGAGCAGAGTAGATCAACAGCAAATATGTACTGCCAAGCATCTTCACTCAGATCTTCTCCATATTGCTCACTTGGTTGAAATTCTACTTTGGGACATGACTGCATTTCTAAAAGCAGGTTTGAGACCATAATCCCAGCATCTAAAGAGGAACTCTGGAATTTTAGAAGGTGATTATCTTAATGCATGAAGAGTCACCAACCCAGAACCAAACTCTTTACATAGATTTGACTCTAGCTGTCCACAGCATCTTTATACCATAAATTCAACTCTGGATTTGACTTAACACAAAGCCAGTGCATAAACCAAAATCAAGTAATTGGTATTTTTCTTGATGTTTTTTCTAAAAGGAGAGTTTGAGGGGGAAAAGAACCCCAGACAACAAAACCCACAAACCCTGCACACCCACTCTCTTCACTCCTCCTTCAATTTGGGGATTTTTTATTTCTCTCAGTGAAGCTTTAAGGTCAGAAGAGTGTTTTCCAGTGGAAGACAATGTGAGTAATGCTGCTCACTTGGTATGTTTGGGGGTTTTAAAATGATTTGCTGATGCTGGGATTTGTTACTGTTTATTGTTCATTAAGAGCTAATTTCCAAGCACCAATATTCAGTAGTTAAGGTAGTAATAACTACTAAAACGTGCCATGTGAATCAATTCTAATTCAGTAGATAACACAAGCAAGAAAATTTAAAACCAAGCATCTTCTGAGTATCTGAATTAGTAAGGAGAAAGTCTTAAGTTTATCACATAAACATGCTCAGTACAAAAGCTCATAGCATTGGCAAGTTCTGCAAGTCACTAAAATGGCACACTTAGACCAAGAAATAAATATCCATTCCACATGAGCTTTACTTTCCTAAGTAGAATAACCTTTTCATAAAATTATAACAGATTGTCGATCACAATCCACTTGAAATTTATCCCTGTATTTCCACCTAAGTAAAAAGATACTACAGATAGCATGATATCATCTGCTATCATCAATATAGGGATTCCTGAGGTACTTCTCCCCAGATATTGCTGCTTTCATATTTCATAGAGATCCATAAAGGTAGGGAGTATAAATGCACTGAATTAGGTTTTTCAGGAACATATAGTGAGAGATTCTTGTGTGCATCTTTAATGGCATGAGATCGAAAGCTATAACCTAACAGAATGGAGAATACTCATTCTTTGCTAAACAGGGACTGCAGTACAGCATAACTCTGAATAGCAGAGCTTAATGCTACACCACAGCTGTAATTTAATCAAAAAGGAAACATACAAGTTCGTGCCCCACTGTAAACCTGCATCAAATCAGGAAGTTTATAGGGGCTGTAATTCCAGTGGTACCAGATTAAATCCAGGGCTGATTTTAGATCCAAAAAAACCCACCCAAAATCATCATGCTTTTTCCAGTGGGTACAACACCTAAAGGCTGTGCTGACAGCAGTAAGCCTAACTGCCATCCCCAGGGCAGTTGTGGAGCAGCATGTTAGGATAGGGAATAGATTATTTTGTTTGCTTGATACTTACAGAACTACAGCACTTCCACAAAGCAAGCCTGGCATTAATAGGGGGTTTTCCAAACTACTGGGGCTGTGGCCTTCAAGCAAACAAGCCTGTTACACAAACTCTTCCTCCAGACACAAAGTACCTCTAGCTGGAGCAGCTCCGTGTGATAGAAATTTGCTTCTACCAACATCACATGTGTTGTGATTTTTCCTCTTTGCAACCCCCCTTCCAGGACAGTAATATGTGCTTGCTGAAAACTGACAAATTACATTATTTGGCAAAAGGCTCAGAGACTTGAAGCCAAATCTCAGAAGTCCTTTGGTCCTTGACATTGCTCATCTTTCTTTCGCCATCACTACAGTTTTGTACTGATCATGCCAAATGCTGATGAAATTCATTGGATGATTTTGTCTGGTGATAAATGGGTATTTAGTCTTTTCTCTACAGATGGATCATAAGTAAAAAGAGACAGGCTCATTGTGAAATTAACTGTGATAAATAATTACCTATTACACAGAGAACAAGGAAAGACAGACAAGCCAAATACATACTAAAAGAACCCCTCCAACAAAACAACCACCTCAAGGAATATCAAACCCACAGTTCAGAGGGACAGAATTCCCTAGACCAAGAACACTCTAGTTAAAGTTTAAAAACAATCTTTGCTTTTAATGTTTAATAGAGAAATTAGTATTTAATATGGAAAACGAGAACAAGTATTGTGTTCTAGTAGGGTGTAGACAACCACAGGAAAATGCCTGAAGCAACATTAGCTGTGCAGTTGTACAGACTTCATGGCAGATTCACAGGGTACCTTCACACCCTTCATCAGAAGTAAGCTGCTTGAGTTGATTAAAGTACAACCAATGCAGACAGTGACAATGAAAGCAGATGTTACCTGTTCCCAGCTGAGATAAGCATTCAAGCAGGTCAGCATCTCATTGCTTGCCCTCTGCCTGACAACTAATTGCATAGCTTTGCTAATTGCACTTTGGAAGATGAATATGTCAGACCATACATTTGTGATAAATAAAATCAATTTCTCTGAGTCTGGAAAGTCTATGGGGAAATAAAAAGAGAGAACAAAGTAAGTTGTTAGCATTTTAAAACAAAAACCTATTATACTCAGGCATTAAAAGTTATTACATCCTTTAGCAAATTAACTAGGAAAAGAGGCACAGAAGGCATGTGACAACTGCAGTTCACGGAAGGGGAGTCATACTGGTACATCTCAGTCTGAGATTAAATAAGGAAAAAATACCCAAGAAAAAAAATCCCCCCCTTAAGCCATCCTCCCCTTGTAATTTCACTCTTTTTTAAGGGGAAAAAGCCTGAAAGGAGAACAGATGAAAAAAGGATGGACAAGGAGTCAAGAGAAGAGGTGACGCAAGTCTTAATGAGGTAGTACTGGCTGTTTATAGTCAACTTGGCAACTGTGTAGCTGGCACAGAGCTCACAGTTGTGTTGCTGTAGTTCTGATGGGAATTAATATGTGAAACTACATGAAAGAGAAAACCCCAAAATGACTGCATTGTAATCAAAGCAAACAAAACAAATCAACGCTTGAGATGTGTTTACAGCTGTTCACACTCAAAAAATACAGATGAAACTGGATGAGCTTTAAGGCCCCTTCCAACCCAACCCATTCTATGGTAACAACAATAAAACCATAGAACCACCACTACAGGAATTTATTCAATTCAAAGTATACAACAGAAAATCTTTAAACAGAAATCTGCATGTAGCTACTGAAGTTTGGATGTTACCCAGAAAAAACAGAAGACCATACAAAGACACACAGCATATGGAAGATACAAGAACACCGAGCCATACTACACCTTCTTTAAGCAGGCTATAGCAGAAAAGGCGAGCTCTTTCCAGGTCTCCCAACTGTCGACAAATCCCTGTATAGACTCGACACAGAGCCTGATTGAAAGTGTAATTTGTGGCATTCTTCTGAGCCTTGAGCTTATTGAGAATAGCATGAAGCAAGGACTCTGCTAACTGCTGTAAGGCAAAAAAAAAGGATTGTTTGACTATTATATACTTGAGAATATTTGATACCATTATAGCGGTATGACAAGTAAAAAGAATTACTATCTTACTTGCAAGAACACTGTTTGCATACATATAAGAATGCAGAAAAGTACATCAGATGCAACCAGCAGAAGAAAAAAGAGTGAGGAGCAACTTCCCAGAATAAACATGCCTTAAACAGATGCAGAATGGGACTATTACTCTTTAAATTGTTTAGTTATGTGACCAAAAGCTGTCTTCCTTAAACAAAAACTGAGGAGAGGAATAATGAGAGGTAGAGGAACCCCAACAACCTTATGAAGCACCGTGACTTGGCTACTCCCAGACAGCAAACAGCCCATTGTCCAGATGTGAGACTTAGTATTTAATCAACAGCAGAGTCTCTCTCCAGATCCCTTACACATCCCTTACACAGTGCAGGAGGTGAAGAAGGGGTTATTGTTGTGGAACTCAGTGCAAGATGTAAGGAAGGAGAACACTGGGACTGTGCAAGACTTACTATAGGACTTTTAGTGGGGCAGCTAGAACTGGGGAGGAGAACCTGGCTCAGGGGCCAGGTGCTGGAGAGGCCACAGATTTGCAGTGGGTACCTGCAGACACCAGGCAGTCTGAGTGTTGGCTTCCTGAAGAACCAGAAGGTCCAAGCCAGCTACCTGAAAGACCAGGGGTCTGAGGGTCAGATGCAGGCAAGACCGTATGTCTGGACCAGCTACTGAAGGGATGTGTGTGTACTTCTGGATCTGTAAGTCTGTCAGAGCATGAGATGAGAAGGGAGAACAGTCACCTACTGGGTATACTGAGTGTCTGTTAGCTACTGGAGGGATCCATACTGTCTGTGTGTATGTGTATACATATATATATATGTATGTATTTTCTACTAACAGGTTTTCAACCCTGATCAACCAGAGAAGGGAACAAGATTAGGCACATATAGTGTCCACGTGTGCCCATTAGGAATACATACTCAGCCTTGCTACAGGCTGGACCTGGAAACATAAAGTTGTTGCAGCCTTGCTTCTATGAAGTTACCAGATTGGGCAACTCCTAACAAAGATGACCTGAGAAGCTGGCAACAGCTTCTGTGGAGAACTTCATTACATTCAAGAACTGAAACAGGGCAGAATGCTGCCAAGCATCACTTGGTGAATTGCTCTGGTGCAGAGCACAAATTATCTATGAGAAAGATGGCATTTAAAGTGATTTTTTTTTTTTTAACACTGATGCTAAGCAACTTCTGAGATACAAACCAATGAAAGGTTTTTCCACTGAAATGCATTTGAGCAACGTGACGTAGAATAATAAAGATGGAATGAAAGCGTGACGCTATTGTATATACACTGCAGTAAATAGGTAATTGAAGCTCACGCTTCTAGAGGAACTCCTTTTACAGTCGTTAACGCTATCCACCACGAAAAATGCTGTAAAAACAAAGTGGTTTCTGCATGCATCAGAAGAGCAAATGTATTTACAAATGCAGTTTTGGACCTTGGACACCTCTGAACAGTAATTTCTTGTGAAGTTGTATGTTTTCTTAAGTTTTACAAGTTTAGATGTCTGGTAACCTTTCAAGACTACACTCTGGCCCTGCAGATTGAATGAAAATAGAGAACTCAAGTATTACATGCTTATAACCTTTTCATCTGCACAGAAATCATTATTAAAATACATGAACCATGCTACTTACCTTGGTTTTTACACCAAATTCATAGACAATTTCTTTCTCTTCATCTCTCATTACTGGAATCTTTGAGATATTGCCAACGTACACGTGACCTTTAATAACTGGTAACAGGTCAAAACAGGACTCGGCAATTCTCTTCAATGCCAGAGAAACTTTCTGACAGTCAGTATCAACAGCTTTCTTTAATGGTAGTGATGCTTCTGAGCTGGAATCGTGCACTGAGTCACTAGTTTCAGAGCTTTTCTCATGGAAAGCCTCCTGCGTTCCAGAGATTGTATCTTTAGTGTTTTCCATAGCAGCAGTATCATCGGGCTCCAGCTTTGGTGGTTCACTGTCCAGCCTCAGTCTCTTTGCACTTCTTGGCATAGATACTGGCAATAGGGTCCGTTTTCCAAGATGATTTGATGAGCTTGAGAAAAGCTGCTGATTTTGCCCATCTTTCTCTTGGTCTTTGCTACTATTGAACTTCAGATTGCCCCCAGTTTTAACAAAAGCAGTTGATGTAGATGCAATTGCTTTGAACCCACCAATCTGAGCCACGGGTCCTGGCAAACTTTGGCTGTCTGAAAAAGCACATCGGTTAAGGTGTATATTGCCTTTGAGGATGTTTAGTGTCCTTGCCCTTGCAGACAGCTCTGGGTACATGGTGTCCAGTATTTTCACTGAATTCTCCTGAGGGGGAGCTGGAGCAGCACCATCAGCTGCCAACAGAGGAAACCTCCCTGGGACGGGAAGCGCATGCTTTGGAATGGAAGTACAGAATTTCAGGGGTGAGGAACGAATCCTTCGGCCTAATGCCACTTCTGAGGGTGAGGGAGGAGAAAACAAAAGAGCAGATTTTACTGGTGGTGTATCTGTTAACGGAGACATGAGAGGAGGAATGGGAGTTTCACGTAACGGCGATATCAGGTCATCAAGAGGGGAAAGCAAGGAGGATCGACCAGTAGAAGACATTGCTGGGGACACGGTACATGTGGCTTTTGGAGGAGTATCCATCAAAGGCAGGAGCAAGGGGGGAAGAGGAGGACCTATCTCTTGCCTAATTTTATTTATAGTCTCAGGTGAGCATTTTTTTGGCACAGAAGTATCAGCATTTGCAAGAACTGCCTGAGTGACTTTGAGAATCTTTGTTTTCCTTTTACCTTGAGACAGCCTCTTTGATACCTTGGCACACATGGCCTGGGCAGCTGCCTTGGCTGAAGCAGTCAAGACTTCAGATGGTTCTTGCTCTTTACAGTTCAACCTGTTTCTCCTTTTGAGAGCATCACCCACACAAGATTCTGACTTTAGCATGCATGGCTTCTCAAATATCAGGTTTTGTGGTTCAGAAGGCTCCCTAACTTTGTGACAATTGAACTCTATATCACACAGGGCTGGATCTGGAAGAGACTTGACAAACGTATTTCTTCTACCATTTAGGATAACATCAGTGCTGTTCTCTCCTGTGCTGCAACAACTGGAAGTCTGACTACAGTTATATTCTTCAGACACCGAGATGCCCATATCAACACTGTGTAGTAGATTTTGCTCCACCTTTGACTGGCATTTTTCAGCCTCATTTTCTTCTAAGAAATTGCCAAGTGCTAACGTTCTTGTATTTAATCCACTGGTTTTTACCATTTCTGAGAATCTGCTTAACGTCTGGGATACTGGTAATCCATTTTGTGAGGCATTTGGCATCACAGGGCTTTCTTTCGATGTCCCAGTTTTTAACAGACCTCCCTCACTGTCACTGATGCATTCAGCTCTGTTAGAGTCTACCACACATTCACTGGCACCCTCAGCACTGTCAGAGGTTACCAGTACAGACTCTTTTGTGCAGGAGGCTAAGTCTTTAGGATTACCCTCCCCAGCCACAATCGACAACTCATTTGAGGTATCTGGAGCACTGTCTGTTTCACAGTGTGTATCCATATCCACCACAGTGTCTGCTTTTAGCTCTCCAACTGTCACAGGGCTTCCTGGGTGCATTGCTGAATGAAGTTCAGATACTTGGCAGTCAGTGTCAGCAATCTCATCACTGGTTTCCAGAGCATCCCCTGCAAGGCTCCTGGAAGCCCTGGGTTCCTCTCTGACTATGGGAACACATTCAGAACATTCCACATCTCTATGTTTCTGTACAGAACAGTCTTTCTCTTCAGATTCATTGATCTGCTCTGGCCCATCAAAATTGGGTTTAGATATTTTTATGGCATTTTCCCCAGATGCCTCAAAACTATTCAGTTCTTTGCTTTCCCCTCCTGCTGTTACTGAATCAGCTCTAGAAGTATCTGTTGTAACCTCCTGTGTAGAAGTCCTGCATCCTGATTCTTGACAATCAAACTTCTGAGAAGGAAAAGTATTCTTATTAGAAGAGTCTGCATGCAGGAGCTGCGATTTAACAGGGGCAGGAGGTTCTTTATCTACTGTCTGCTCCTTCTCATCTGGTATTTTCATTTCATTTTGGTGTATGTATACCCTCTCAAGGCAGCCCAGTTCTTTGCACATGATGTCTTTTTCAGCAGACAGGATCTCTGCACCCTCTTCCAAGCTTTCTGAAGAACACTTACATGCACTGTCCATAACACGATTTTTCTCTCCTCTGTTTTCCCATGTAGGGGAAGAAGCAGCAGGCTTTTCAGAGACATTAGTTTCAACAAAACTCTCAACTTGCTGAAGACTGAAATTGAGACCAGGAGGCACTGTAGATCCCAAGCCAGCTCCCACTTGTACAGGAGAATCTGTTTCTTTAGCATTTATACAGCCCACCTCCAAGTCCCCTTCAGTAGACAAAGCCAAGTCACTATTAAAGTCCATTTCAGAAGCAGGCTGGCAGATGATCTCTGAAACTTTATTTGTCTTCACAACATTCCCTTCCCAGTTAAATGAACTGGAAGACACCAACTCCTTGCTTTGTTTGTTTAATTCCCCTTGGATGTCATCACATTTAACATTTTCAGTTCCCAAGAACCAATTCAGAGGTTTTGCAAGCTGTGCCTCAGAAGGAAGATTACTTTCTGCTAAGACAGATTCAGTGGTATCCACTCTTTCTAACAGCTCACTGCTTCTCTCTCTGAAATCTTCTGGACTAACTTTGACTTCAGTGTCTTGAGATTCAAACACTCCAGAGTTTTGAGTTTTGGACAACACGTGTTCTAATGCACTACACAGGTTTTCAGGTTGGTTTATTTCACCTTGTATTTCTGTAATATCTAACACAGAGGATTCACACTTGGCTACACTGCTTTCAGCACCAGTGACACATGCTGTGCTTGACAGTGCAAGTGTACTTCCCAACTCTGACTTCCCTTCTGATAAATTCCTACCATCATCTTCCTGGTGTGGTTTGCCTTTTAAATATCCCCCCTCCTTCATATCCACTGATTTCCCATTCTCTGCTCTATGGAGTAGCTCTGATGATTCAGCTGTTTCTGGAACACTTTCTCTGTTAGATTCCACGGCTAGTGCAGCAGTCTCGGGTCTAGTTCTATTCCTGTCTTCAGTTTTGAGCTGCTCATCTTTTGGAAGGGCTAACAAAGCAGTCCCCTCCATACCTACATGTTTGTCTGTGTCATCCATAGACAATACGTTTCTGATTTCTTCAACAGGAGATACACGTAAGTAACATTTGGAGACTTTAAGAATCTCTGGATCACATTCTCTGTCTGCTTCATCTTTTACTGTTTGCACACACTGTTTCTCCAGTATCTCTTCACTGTCATGTTTTATTTCAGAGCAGTGAGAGTGTACAGAGATCTCATCAGCTCCAGTGTCTGCCTCAGTCTCTATAGTTATTCCCTCCCCATCACACTGTATCATCAGGTCTTTAGGACACTCTGCTGCACAGAAGGATTTTGAACTACTGGAATCAGATACTACTACATTTTCAGAGAGCTCTGTCTCACTATTTGCCTCTGCACAGGGTCCTTTCACCTGTATTGCAGCTGTTACTTCTGCTCCATTTTTCACTTCTGTATTTTCCCCTATATCACTTGCCATATTAGTTACTTTGATTACATTTTTTGATTCATTTTCAACCACTTCATTCTGTATCAACACATCAGATTTCTCCTCAGAATCTCCTCTTTGAAGCACAATGCACTGCTCAGATGGGACAAGAGGAACGTTTTGGGGAACACATACTGCCCTGGGAGCTCCTTTCTCTCCTGATAATCCATCTCTTTCTGCTTTCATTAATTCACCATGCTCTTCATGTGCACCCTCGTCATCAACAGCTCTGATTAAGGTTACGTTCTCCTCTGTTTGCTCTACCTCACCACATTTTTCCATCTCATTCTGAGGCTTGAAACTCTGTAACGTAAAACCAGCTGAAGAACCTCGTTCTTCACTATGCATGTCCTCACTGTCTCCTTTCTGTTCTCTGATGGCTTCCAGTTCATGTGCTGTCACTTCAGTTAGTTCTCTCTTTTCAGTTTCCATGTTCTCAGATTTCTCCTCCAAACAATCATTAGTTTTCATGTTTGTAATTAAAGTAGCAGCTTCAGCTTGCTTTTTTTCAGCATCCCCCTCCTCCCTCCTTGACATCTTTGGACTGATAGGAACATTGTTTTCATTCCAACTCAGGTTTTGGGAGACTTCTGCATCAGGACCATGCTCACATGATCTGCTGTGACTGTTACACTCCTCATTGAAGCTGAATGCATTACAACTCTGAGGATGAACTCGATCTTCTTGTAGAATATCCTCCACTGCAGAAGCACTGCAATCAACTTCGTCATCACTGGAACCTGTGTCTTCTCCAAACAATGCATCCTTTAATGAAAGAAACAAGGTTAATATTCCAAAGCCTGGTACCAGTTTTAAGATCTACTTCTCTAAACAAATACACTGGTAGCCCTGCCATGCAGTGGTTTTGAGAGATTAAAGCTGATCAACAGAACTACATCCTTCTCCATCACTGTTCTTCATATCAAATGGAAAGTACCTCTCCAAAAAGTCAGAGACTTCTTTACCTACCTACTTGCATTCTAAGATTACTGGAAAACAACATTTGAGCAGGTTCCCCTTGACTGTCAAGCTATGGAATTTTGCCATGGAAACCACACTTACACCCAACAGGAGTTGGGACTGTAAGTCTGCAACACTGGAAATGACAGCAGTTGAGACAAGCATGACTTTGCTTTACATGTACTTCTGAAAAGTATGGTTTATCCCCTTCCACATGCAGTATGCTAGAAGGTAAGAGCAATCCATATGGATCTAAACACTCACACAGAGGCTCTTTCAGTGCATGAGTAATTAATACTGATACTCAAACAATAAAAAAAAGCCCAGGTATTCATTTTTGCAGTAATTACACAACCAAGTTAGTTCCAAGTAAGACACATCCTGAAACGCACCTCTGTTGGTGGTGGTGAAAGCTGTACTGGAGAAAGCAGAGCAGGGAGAGGCCTGACCCAATCCAATATATCCATCAAATCTCCACCTGGGCCCTTTTGCTCCTGATCAGAGAAGTCTGAACTGCTGTGTGCCCCATCTGTCTGTATCATCGTATCTTCAGTTTTATCCTCACCACTGTGCAAACATTCTTCAGTGGTCCTGTTCTCAATGCAGTCACTTCCAAAAGGCTCAGTACTCGCTTGAAGGTGCATGGCTGTTACAGGAGTTTGCTTGCCAGGACTTTCCAGTGAAGAACACCAAGACAGCATTTTCCCATCGCATTTCCTGATCTTTTGGTGCATTTGCACAGTTTCTAAGACACAAGAAGATTGTTAAGATTTTTTTCCCCTCCCACTTTTCTCTATAGAGATAATTCATGATAGTAATAAGAAGGTATTAGCCTCTTTTCAAGTGATGTTCCCATAGATCAGTAATAAGAAGCACTTCATGTCACTTTCAGAAATACTTTCCCTACAGAGTTCAGATGCTGTTATCCACAACCAGTTCTTTCTTCATGAGAAAGCTCTATGTATGTGCAAAGAGCTCCCACCTAAACTAACTTCTGACTTGGATCATTAAGACAATTCTTCCCAATTTTTCTTATCAGGAAAAACCATACTGGGCAGGACTGAAGGGCCATACTGCTCAATAGTTTATTTGATTTTTAGCCCAGTAACTGATGGTCAGGAAAAGCAGCACAAGCATTCGGTGACATTCCCTGCTCAGGCTGCAATTCTCAGCTTAGAGTAACCTGCAGCTTCGAGCCAGCTTGCAGGCCAGTTACATTTCTACCCCAACACAAACACAGTTAGGGAGTTCTTAGCTATATTCTTAGTTTTATGATGCAATATGCATAGGCTTTTGAAGTGTTTGTTCTGTAAATGTCAATACTGAGTCTAATCATACAAGATTTTGTCTTTAATGACGTGACTTAAAGCTGTAATCTTACAAACCCCACAACACATCTGTGCACAAAGGAGTTTGAACCACTAAGACAAAGCAAGATAATGTCAACTATACCAGTTTTACAGCTATTCTGGAAGAAACTATTCCACTGCAGCACAGTCTGAAACTAGATTTATTGGGATCTGTACTAGTAGATTTAGCAGGGTAGGGAGACAGGGTAACAGTTCACCCTCAAAGCTCTTACTAAGGCAGGATACTTATCCCAGACAGTATCTCTACAGCCTGAATTGCAGAAAACCAAAGTGGTAGAGAAAATAAAAGAAAATGAAAGCATCATAAGCATATAAGAAGGAAAATGACACCACTATGTGAAGTTAAAGCATTTCACATTTGCTGTGAATGTGCATATGGATAACTACTCACATTATTGTTTTATTATTACACTGTTACAAAATGAAAGCTATCACCAAATGATACATTTTGTTCCTCTGTATCACAAATATGAAAACTAATGAATTGTCATCTATTACTATTCAGGCAGATTTGAATTAAGAAAATGGCTGTAACAGCTTCTTACATTTTCCAATCCAACTATGTTGCCATGTGTTTCAGACTGGAAAGAGTACTTGCAGCCCATAACTCCCATTATATACTGCAGAGTTGACAGTGATGTGTTACTTAAGGAATAAACATGAGAGGTGAGTTTTGACTGCTTAGAAACAGTCAAAGCAGGTAACAGCAGAAGAACTTGATTTCTCAATTGCAACAGCAGATCACAACAGAACACTCCACTTTACTTGCCTGTTCAAAGTCATATTTGCAATTACTTCCCAATATTCTAATCACACTTGACCAGGCAAACACCAAGTATTTAAGCCTGTCAAAAAGTGTTACGTAGACAGTGCCCAACCTGATGATATCCCAGTAAGACTACGTTAAGGCACTTGAGTATTGATAAATTCACATTTACCGGGACCCACCTTCTGTACCAGTTAGCCTCCTTTTTTCAGGCCATACCTTACCCTGAATAGAAGCTGAAAGAATGTATCAATTTTTGGTCAGAAAACAAGACAACTTCAAGAAAGTTTCAAGACTTTGCATGCCATCTCACCCAAGACAGGGCAGTTTTCCTGCGTCTTTCTTTTGCCCGTTGCACTGTCAATGCACCGCCAGAGTTCTTCTAACAAGAGCTTTATTTTTTCTGTTGAAATACATATGTTTATAAATTCAAGACACCGAGCTCAGAATTTGTGCTTATTTTCACACAGACATGCCTACAACAAAATACCCACAACAAAAACGAAGACAAAGGACATAGGAGCATTTTGGCTTCAGAGAAAGAGGAATGCTAGATACCACAGGGGGAATGGGTCCTGTACTGGCCATAGCCACACAGCAGACTGAAGGAACAGTTGCAGAAGGCTTTAGCTTTTCCTTCCTATAGCAAGGGTGGCAAAAAAGTTGTAGCAGTCTCCAGAGTAAAATGTAAAAGCAGATTTGAATGTAGCATTAGTAAAATTAAACAGCTTTCTAAAACAACCCAGGTGACATGAACATAAATGGGGAAGGAGATCTTTCAGGAGGAAAGTATTTATATCACATTCTTCATGCCCACTCAATAACTCCATCTTACCACGGAGTAACAACACATTCAATGTAGCTGAATTAATTATTAGGCCACAACATCATCTGGAGTCCTAACAGCACCATTGCTGGGTGATGCCAAACCACCTTGTTCCAGAACCAGAAGGGCAGGTGGAGAGCGAGAATCGGATCAAAACCTCAACAAAATACTCATGCACTTCACCTACTTATGCCAAAACTATCATCAGATCCAGCAATCAGGAACTGAGATTATTGGGTTTGTGCCAATTCCTTAAGTCAAAAGCCACAGCAAACTGCTACTACTTCATAAAGAGATGTATTAAAATAACCGCAGCACATCAGAGGGAAACTTGCCAAATTCTGCATGACAGCTATGAACACTTAACAACTCCTCATCACTCATAAAGCCTTGACGCTATTTCAAGCTCATATTAGAGCTCAGACCTTAACTTTAGCATTTTGTCATCATTTAAAATTAAAGTATGAGATTGGGTACCGGTTCAGTACAATCCAAAAGGCAGTAAGAATAAATCAAGACACCCAAGAACTGACAAGATGTACCTTTTTCAGAGAAGTCTAATTTTGGCAAGAAATCTCACATGCAAATACTGCAAAGCAAGAAATAGAACAGGGAAGTTCTTCTTTTACCTGAAAATTGCATTCATATTCTTTAAACAATTATTTTAAATACTAAAATACTAAAATCAAGTATTTTAAAAGACTGCAAAAAAAATGCAACAAATATATTTGCTTTAAGTTTGGCCTCTGTACTTTAGAGCGAGTTTAGAAGGAGCTTGCTCCATTACAGTTAGATCCAGATAATGTGTAGCAAATATTTTAGATCACTAGGGGAAAAAGCCAATAGGATAAGAAACAACTATACATCTTGGATTGCCATTTGATTTACAGAGCCTCACACAGAAATTCTAGTGTCTTTTGCTTTGCATACTTCCTTTATGATTTCAATAACCTCTGAAGACAATGGAATGCTTGTATTTTTCTCAGTGTTTGCATTCTTGTTTATCAATTTATCAATACACATCAATTGACTTCACAGATACATGAAATAAGACTAGCCATTTTAAAGAATCAAATGTTTTCCTTACTGCAGAACTGAAAATAGTCACCTATTACATCAGTCCTCCATCAGTGTAAAATGCTTATATCAACCACATCTGCTCTCTACATCTACGTTCACTCTCTACAACTGCCTGACAGGAGGTTGTAGTGAAGTGGGGTCGGTCTCTGCTCCCAAGGAACAAGGGACAGGACAAGAGGAAACGGCCTCAAGCTGCACCAGGGCAGGTTTAGATGGAGCTGAGGAACAATTCCTTCCCCAGAGGGTGCTCAGGCATTGGAACAGGCTGCCCAGGGCAGGGCTGCAGTCACCGTCCCTGCAAGTGTTCACACAGCGTGGAGACGAGGCCTCAGTGCCATGGGTTAGTGGTGGCCTTGGCAGTGCTGGGGAACGGGACTGGATGAGCCTGAAGCTCTTTCCCACCCTGGCTAACTCTGTGATTCTACATCTTTTCTGTCAGTATCCTCTGTTCGCAAAACCACAACTCCAGAAGAGCTGCAATAAATTCATAAGAGTTGGTTCACAACCGAGAACAGTCTTGCAAAATGTCTTACCTTTGTCTATATCTTTTGTAAGACCTTCACTTGAACTCTGGGTCTCCGCATGCTTCACTGTTACAAAGAGGAGAGGGGGGAAAAAGGAAATGTTCAAATGGCACAATACAACACACAAATCTGAAGGCAGTCAAAGGTGAACACTTACCTTTTCTGCACTTCTCTTTAAGTACACCATCAAGTTTTCCCTGTTGAAATTAAAAACAAAAAATCACTTTTCAGGCCACACATGGTTTTTAGATCATTGACTCTTAATTAGCATGAAAGCTAAAATCAACATTTTAAAGCTTCAGTTGGAAAATGTCTATCTCTTCAAGTGAATTGCTATGGTGAGTTACTCAGTATCCCTAACAAATGTACTATTTCAGTATCTCTGTTACTAGTTGCTTCCTTCTTTCCCCCCGGCGATACTAAAAGCAGCTTCATCAAAAAGACCAGGAGAATCTTACTTGTGCCTTTTTTAGCTCGTTCTCAAGCCTTTTCTTCTCACTTTTCAGTTGTCTGAAGTCCTGTGTATGCTTTGTTGCAGCCTCTTCAAGAGAAACAAAATTTAAGTTAGAAACTACAAGAAAAGAGAGAAAAATTTAAGTAGTATGTGTCACCAGTTTGCATATCCAATTATCAGGGAAAAAAAACAGTGTGAAATACAGAGCTATTGAAGTTATATTTTGGCTCATTAAGACAAGAACTGATGCATACAACTACATCATCTTCCACTGCACAATTAGCACTCTGAACTATTGAAATACATTCATTGCTTTTCTCACTGACTTGCAAGCATGAAGAGTGGGTCATACTGCAATGATACTGTACTGCAGAATAATATACACCAAGTGAAAAAAGGGAGCAAAATCAAGAATGAGGCACAATGGGGTTTTCTGTGTGTTTCATTCCCTTATTTAAAAGAGGGCTCTGGTTCAAAGAAGAAAACACCCATAGCCAACTGCATTAGAAAGATGCAGATAGCACTCAAGATCAATAAACAGAGAGGAGTACCTCATCTCAATGTGTAATGACAAGCAGCTGGTAAGACTGCAGATGAGTGGGAATAAAGAGGACAGGGCAGGTGAGGACTGAATGTGAGGTTTCTAGGGAAATCCTCAAGTAAGAGAGATGCTTGAGAGAGCTCCTAGAGAGCAGAATCACAGAATCAGCTAGGCTGGAGAAGACCTTTAAAATCACCGAGTCCAGCCCTTAAACTCAGTCATCAACTTGGTGATTTATACATGGACAGCAGAGAAAAGAGGGACAGAAGCTGCCTGCTGACCAGATTAGGTCACAAAACAGAGCATATCAAAAGAAAGAGTGTTAAAAAGGCAGCTCAGGTGGTAGGCTGACAAAAAAACCAATCATGGGAAAATTTCAGACTGACTGACAAAAGATCCCAGGTTAAAATACAGGGTCTGGGACATTTAACAAACATGGAAAAGAGCAAAATAGATAAGCTAGTCACTCAAATTGGACCTAATGCAATCTATCTCACAGTGTTCTGTTCTAGCTCTGCCAGAATTTGATGTTTTGGAGGCAAGAGGGTATAAAAACCTTGCTGTCACATAATGGCATTCCAAAATGCTCATCAAAACAGACACCCAATACCTGTACTTTCCAGTGGGACTTGGGAGGTTTCTAACGCTAAGATACAAGTCACTCCGCTCATTGTACTTTAAATCGTGGTAAGCACAGCTGTAAACATGCCATGAATGAACGTATTGGCCTTGCCAGCTAACAGTACAGCAAGTTAACTAGCAGAATGCTTTATGCATATCTACCCTCTGCTAACAAAACAAGAAAAACCCAGTGCCATGAGGCAAGTGCTTTATCTCTACTTAAAACCAAACCCACCAACCAACCAAGAGCCAATTTCCAGAATATTTACAAATCAGAAAACACAACGTTAGGATCACCACATGCCTAAATATGATTATAAACATGACTAGAAGAATCCTGCCAAGGTTATTAGAATGCTGGAGCACATGCCGTATAAAAACAGGCTTGTTGAACTCGATTTAGTTAGCTTGAGAGGAAAAAACATCAAACAACTTAGAAGGGATCTCAGAACAGTTTTCCTGCACCTACAAGGAGGTACCAAGAAGATAGAATGAGACTGTTCAGTGATGCATGGTAGGAGGATGAGAGATATCAGTTATAAGTTGAAACAAGACAGTTTCCAACTGGCTACCAGGAAAAGCTTTTTCACCATGAAGACAGTCATGAAGTGAATCAGGTTGCCTGGAGAGGCTGGGCAGACTCCATCCTTTGAGGTTTTCATGATCAGAAGTTTCCTTCCAACTCCATTTACACCATGTGCCCAAGATACTCAAGAGAAAACATTTTGCAAGAGGGCTGATATAATTCAGAGACTAAGCACCACCCATAGCACTAAACTGCCTTGCTGCTTGGGGCCTCAGTTAGAAAGCTGCAATTACTTCTTCAGGAAAAAAAAGGAATGAAGAAATGGAGTAGGACACCACCACAGTAACAGTGTAGAAAGTTACCTTCAAGTTTCTTCACTTTTGTTTCCAGTTTCTTTCTCCTGTAAAAAAGAAAGCATTAATACATTATTTCCGCATAGAGTTACGTTGTACGAAAACCCAGGAAAACAAATAAATCTACCTATTTCAGAGAAAACACGCTTCCTACACCCAGGACCTGTGAGACCAATGTGTCCCTGTAGTTGAAATCTTAAATCAGTGGCACGCTGCTGACCTTCTCACACAGCTGTGTCTGTTACAGAGGTGAAGTTTGGTCTTAAGAGTGTCAGTCTCCTAATCCAGGGACATAAATACACCTTCAGCTACAACTGGGGGTTACAAACACAACTCAAGAAACCTGGCTTCTATGATGTAATGCTTAGTTTTAGAGCTTGGTTTTACTCCTTAAAACACTTAAGCCTGGCTTAGAATCAGTAAGACCTAAGCAATGAGGTATCACGGATAACCTGCCTGATCACTCACATCCCACAGCTTTTTGTTCCTAATATCCACGTGTTTACTAAAGCCAAACCAAAACAATGATGCATCCTGAACAGTTCTGAGTTCAGCATTCCCAACCCTACTTTATACATAAAACAGACACACAACTAGGAAATAACTGAAAGAAAAAAGTAAACACTCCTATTATGTCCTTCTGCTAAATCCCAATATTCCAGAAACACAAAGTGCCAGAAACTTTTGTGGTAAGTAGAGAACTCTGTCCTGGTAAACAGATGCTACCAGTGCTCACTGACCACTCATGACTCATGTTCTCTCCATAAGCATAGAAATTTTAGCAGAATGTAAAGTATTACTAGGTAAGGGACAAAACCAAGCTCTGCAAGAATTAGGAGGGGGAATGAAAGGTGGTGCAAATAAGCAGCATCACTCACACAGCATCACTGTTCACTATTTCTTCTTTAATTTTAACATATTCCAGTTGAGTCTCCCGATAAATCTTGAGAGAACTCTATGGAGAAAGAAAGCGCAGTTAAAATACACCATTACTGGGGGCAGAAAAATAGACGGCAGAACTTTACCTATTCTAATGAATATAGTGCATAGCCAAAAAGGTGTATTCAGTGAGAAAACAAGTAAGCTGCAAAGTCAGGTTATTCTTCTTTAAAAGCATGAGTTATAACAAATAAATCTGTATCTATCTTTTGAATACGTACTTGCAAGACCTATCTGGATAGGAGCTCACAGCACAACTATTATACCAAACACACATAACCCTGCTTTTTCTGAAAAAGAGCATTAGGACATCAGCTACTAATGCTTTTTATAGGGAACAGCATTCAAAACCCAGTTCTAACACTGAAGAAAAACTAGGCATAGTGATAAAACAGAGGTTAATATCCTACCTTGTACCAACATGAAAAAACAAGGAAGAAGGTGGGGTATTTTTTGCAGAAATAATAGTTTATGTCTAGGAAATACATAATTTGAGGTGATTTGAACAGTCAAAATCTTTTGTTATGCAGACTAGGTTTTAGGTAAGAGATGGGAAAGAAATTAGGAATACACTCAAGTAACTAATAATGGAAAAATCGTATGTTCAAAATTGTAACAGAAGCAAAATCCTATTCTGCACAGACTCTTAGCACCTTTTTAGTAGTGCAAGTTATAGAGCTCAGTAATCTAAGATCAGAACAGAACACCAGATGAATATGAATGTATTTCCTTCCTATATAAGGAAATAAAATGCAAATCATCTGATGAAAAATCATAGGAACTACAGAGCTTCTTGCCTATGTGAAACCTGATGCCATGTCATTCCTTTCACCTAAAGCCAGAGCTGCCTGTCACAATGAGCTGGAAATAACTAGGGTCATTAAAGCCTGTTCCATTAAGATAAGCATTAAATATATACATTTCTTTCAACATAGAAAGTGCAAGTCACCTTTTTCTCTTCTAACTCAGCTTTCAAGGAACCCAACTCTTCCTGGCACTTTTCCAGAGGCAGAATTTTCTGTAGCATCTGCTCCACTTGGCAACGAAGAGCAGAGATCTCTCTGAAATGGAAAATGTAATTAAAACTGAAGTTACCAAAACCCCTGGGTGCTTTCAAACTCAACGTTCTGACTCTTCAGGCAAGTGCGAGTATTTTGCCTTCCCCTAAGGAAAAATGCTGCAAGACACACCCAAAGGCTTTCAAGAGTCCGAATGTTTTCATTTTTCCATCCAACATTTTACATTCAAAGGCAATCCAAGATCTGATTTAAAAACATTAAACTAAGGCTAAATCTTGATGCAAGCAGATGGCATGTGCCACTGGAGTACTGCTCAGCTACCTACACTGAAGGGCCAGAACAAGTGCCCCTGTACAGGTAGCACTGTGAAATAAGAGCAGAGTCCAACTGCTGGATCTGGAGGCAAGACACAGTCCTTAAAGTTTACAGGCTGCATCTTCCTCTATAATCAAGTAAAAGAGCACACAGCCACAACTCTAAGACAAAATGCTTCATACAAATATGGCCACCACAAATACACTTACATTTAACCACCACAAGATGAGCTCTGCATCTCTCCTTTGTGACTTTAGACCCTAATGTAACACAGGGCCAAGAAAGAACTTCACACAGGTACTGTAAGAGGACAGATTTCTCTCCTCATCAAGAGTATCTCTGCTAACTATGGCCTAAGAACCGTGGTAAAAGAAAGAATTGTATTAAAAGCTCAGCCTACACCTTGCTGTTACATGATATCAGACTCCTAAAACTGCCCAAGACACAGAGAACGTATCATCTTTAGTAAATAGCTTAAATGAAACTTACCGTTCAGCAAACTGGAGCTGTAAGCTCTTGTTAAGGCAGACAATAAGAACAGTTTATCAAACGTCCCTAAATATATTTCAACCCAATCGCCTCTTGCAAGGAAGCATCTAATAAAGACTTCCACCAATAAAACACAGGACATGCAGAACTTAGCAACACAGATTTACAATAGTTAATATTAAGTCTTATATTAGACAGAGGCAGATCTTAATTGGATAGATTTAATCCCAAAGCCCCACTTTCTTTACAAAGCCTATTCAGTCTGCTCTCTACTAGAAGCATCATCTCTTAAATTAAACCTTAAATAAAATGCCTCAAGCCCTCTTATAAGAAATGTTGATATACTAATTCTGTAAGAACGCAAGAAGTAAAGGATATCAGTGCATTTCTGTTGATACTCTGTCAGCAAATGACTGCAAGGAAAAAGAAGCAGATATTAGTCATTTTCTCACTTGATTTTGACAATCATATCTTAGGATACCTTACACCTTCTGTATTTATCTATAAAGCAAAAGGAAAGATTGACTTGCATTTTTGATAGTAGTCAATATAACTTTTCTGTTTCATTAAGCTATTCAAACCTGAAACCAGGCTGCTTTAAAATAGAAAGCAAAACCAGAAACCAATCAACCAACAGTTACATGAATTTGCAGTCATTAACTACCTGCAGCTTTAAAAAAACCCCAACAACCAAAAAAAGCTTTTTTGGTTTGTAAAAGTAAAGAACACAAAATACATACAATCAAAAAATACACATAGACTCACAAAATAATATCCTAGTTCTCAAACTTATAGGATGTTTTCCTAGGAAATAACACATACATGTAAGAAAATTAGTTCAAAAAACCCTAAAAAGCTTTAGTCTTTATACTGCTCTCTTAGCAGCCACAAGAGGGTAGAGCTTGCTCTGATCCAAGGTGTACAGTGGGCCACACGGCAGCACCAAGGAGAGTTATTCTCTCCTTCCCTCAAATGCTATGGGTTTAGAGAGACGAAAGAGAAACATTGTGGCAGTTACCCCAGTACAGAGGGGGCTTCATTACTTTCTCTCGCAGCAATTGAGAGTAACCAAGTAAGGCAAGAAAGAAAGGGGGCGAGCTGCAAGTAAAGGAGAGGTCATTCCCACAGGAAATGTATATGTACAATGGCAGAGAGGAGACACAAAGTTTGGAGGCAGCAAAAGGAATCTATGGACACAGAATGAAGGTGCTTGGAAGAAAAGGGTCCCAGTCGCGATAGCGAGGGCTCTCTTAAATACTTTTTGGAAACCAGGATGCAGGACTAGAATTTAGATTTGCTAAAACCAGACTGACACCTGTCTGGGGAAGGGCACATGAGAAATAAAATGTTACAATTAGGAGCTATAGAGGTATACATAACAGATCTCAGTGTATTATTCCATACAATCATGGTTATTCAGAAGAAGTGGAAGCAACCACAAAAGAGAGAGCAAACTATGAGAAGCATTTTAGAACCTCACTGTTCTGACTGATGCTTAGCCTCACTTTTCATATTGTCATATTTAATCCCAACAGCATTTCACACTTTAATGCTCAGACCAAATTCTGTTGAAATGTGCTCGACTTTTAGTTCACATACTATATCCCTCACAACAGATTAAATGAAATACATCTCTTGAAAGAGATGCTTCTGCCATTATACATAACCATACATAAGCTATTACAGCTTATAAATAGCCCTGTTTTACCACAATTACTCACATTTTAGGGCACAAATTAAAAAATACTTACAGTCTAGACTTAAGACCTCTTTGCAAGAAGTTACTTTCATTTTGAGGAGGGCTTAGTTCCCTGCATTAACAAATATCTACATTCCACAAGACACATTTACTGCATTGCTTTAAGAACTTAAGAGCAACAAAAAGAAAACAAACTTGTGCAATTGTACTTACTCTCCATCAATCATTTTTTGCTTCAGTGCAATTAATGCGGCTACATATTCGTTTATATTCTGTAAGGAAGAGTTTCAAGTTGGTAAAGAAGTTTCACCCCAAACCTCAGAACTATTTACATTGTAAATCATCTCCAAAGTCATTGTAAACGTCCTACACAACACAGTTATGCACCTTTTCTTCAGTTCTCTTAGTGAAGAAGTTAACTCACAATAAATACATTCTAATATATACAGAGAACGCAGGCTTTGCAAGAAGGCATGCAGACTTAGATGAGGCTTTACTATAAACACTCTTCAGACTTTGTAGTCATCACATACTAAAGTCCCCATGACTTTTTCTCTCAAAATCAAATTAAGCTTTGACAGAACATTACCAATAAACAGCACCCAGCTCATCTGAATCTGCCTATGTCCCAGATTCTCAGACTATACTCATTCTGTGTCTGAAGACCTCCTTCACCCTCTAAACTCCCAGCAAGGCCTTCCCCTCATTTAAACAGGAAACAAACATTGCCCAAAGAGTTATACTATAAAATTGCATGGTTGCTTGGGACCACTGAAGAAAGAAAGTGAACGATCATAGATCACAGATAGTTTGTGCTGGAAAGGACCTTAAAGCTCAGCCAGTTCCAACCCCCTGCCACAGGTAGGGACACCTTCCACTAGAGCAGGTTGCTCCAAGCCCCTGTGTCCAACCTGCCCTTGAACACTGCCAGGGATGGGGCAGCCACAGCTTCTCTGGGCACCCTGTGCCAGCACCTCAGCACCCTCACAGGGAAGAGCTTCTGCCTATGAGCTCATCGCAATCTCCCCTCTGCCGGGTTAAAGCCATTCCCCTTGACCTGTCCCTACAGGCCCTTGTCCAAAGCCCCTCTCCAGGTTTCCTGTAGCCCCTTTAGGCACTGGAGCTGCTCTAAGGTCTCCCCTTAAGGAGCCTTCTCTTCTCCAGGCTGACCCAGCCCAGCTCTCTGAGCCTGGCTCCAGAGCAGAGCTGCTCCAGCCCTCGCAGCATCTCCAGGGCCTCCTCTGGACTCGCTCCAACAGCTCCACGTCCCTCTTGTACTGTTGCCCCAGAGCTGGATCAGGGTTGTAAGGAGGGGTCTCCCCAGAGCACAGCAGAGGGGCAGAATCCCCTCTATCAACCAGTGCTGCTCACACTGCTTTGGACAGTAACACCCTCCCACAGCACTTCGGGAGAAGCGCACTGAAGAGAATACACCGCGGGACTCACCCGCAGACCCCTCTAAGGCACGCCGCAGACACCAGCCCCTTCCCTACATCTCGGCCAGCCAAACCTCGCCCCTGCTGCTCCCCTCACACAGCCCAGTCACGGCGGCACCCGGCGATCCCCAGCAGCAACCCCCCCCCGCCAAGCTCCCAGGGCCGCCGGCCCGCCGGTACCTGTTGCAGCAGGCCGCAGTTGGCGCAGGCCACAGCCGCTGCCGTCCCGCCCGTCGCCGGCGGGGTCTCTCCAGGCATCATCGTGAGCGGCCCCGCCGACAGCGGCACGGGGCGCGGCCCACACGCGTCACACGTCGCGCCATCGCCTCAGCAAGGACCCAGCTCTCTTGCGCCTTCCCGGGGGTGGAGAAATCGCTGCCTGAGTAGCGGAGCCCAAAGGACAGAGGAAAGTGCCGAGTGTTAGAAGCGCCCCTTCTTGACTCACTGCAGAGAGAAAGGAACGGCTGCTCCCGCATCCACCGAGCCGCTCTACGGGTGCTTTGTTATCGTGTTATTTGTTTTATGCACAGGCAGTTCTGCGGGAACTACTGCGGCCCTACGGCGGACAAGGGCAGCCCTGCTCCATTGCCGTGACAGACTGGGCGGGGCGGCTGGGGGCGGGGCCTGAGCGCTCCGCTGGAGCTCCCCTCCCCTTGCGGCCCGGTGGGAGCGGAGCTGAGCCGAGCCGTGGTGACAAAACCAGCTCTTAAACTGGGAGCGCTGCAGCTCAGCTGGGCCAGGCGGCAGCTTGTGGAGCGTGGTGTTCATAGAGACATAGGGCTCGGCTGGGAGGAACCTCAAAGTTCATCCAGTTCCAACCCCTGCCGCGGGTAGGGACACCTTCCACTAGAGCAGGTTGCTCCAAGTCCCTCTGTCCACCCTGCCCTTGAACACTGCCAGGGATGGGGCAGCCACAGCTTCTCTGGGCACCCTGTGCCAGTGCCTCAGCACCCTCACAGGGAAGAACTTCTGCCTAAAAGCTCATCGCAGTCTCCCCTCTGTCAGGTTAAAGCCATTCCCCTTGGCCTGTCCCTACAGACCCTTGTCCCAAGCCCCTCTCCAGCTTTCCTGCAGCCCCTTTAGGCACTGGAGCTGCTCTAAGGTCTCCCCTTCAGGAGCCTTCTCTTCTCCAGGCTGACCCAGCCCAGCTCTCTCAGCCTGGCTCCAGAGCAGAGCTGCTCCAGCTCTCACAGCATCTCCATGGCCTCCTCTGGACTCACTCCAGCAGCTCCACGTCCCTCTTGTGCTGCTGCCCCAGAGCTGGATCAGGGCTGCAGGGGGGGGTGTCCCCAGAGCACAGCAGAGGGGGAGAATGAATCTCTCTCTGGAGTCAGTAAATTTCCCGTGTGAAGTACGCTCCCTAGGGAATGGAGCTCAGTGCAATTCGGTTTCAATTTGAGAGGTTCTCCCAGTGGTTAGGTCAGATAACAAGGCACTTTATGGTGAGATAGTTAATGACATGGTTCTGCAGAAAGAAACTATGTTCTATCAGTCATAAATGAATAGACGTTTTCATAAGAGTTCGGTGTTTCATGTCACTATTCATGCTTAAGCAAGAATGTTATCCTCAGGATTCTTTTAACATCGAAGATGCCCAGACTCTCTAGTTGTCCATACTCCCTTGGTATAAAAGCTCACAAGTTTCAATGCTTCAGACTCTGAATACATGCAGAACTTGGCAAGTAATCTTATGAAAGTTCTGGATTGCCATTTTAATATTTTGTGTCAAGCTCCCATTCCTTGACAAGAAGAAAGTATTTTTAAATTCTTTCAGCACACCCTAAAAATTAGATACTAAATGCATTTCCTTTAAAAAAAAAAGAAGTGAGATTTTAAAAATTAAAGTATGAATTCATAATGTAAAATACATGGGATTTTTTTTATTTCACCCAACTCAGGCCAAGAAGAAGAGAGATGGTAGGGCTTAGAGTTCCAAAGTTCTGCTTCGTTATGTCTCAAGTGATGAGCACATCAGAGTTCAGAGAGGATGCATGACGATGGGAGGGCATTGGGATCTAAAAGAGGAAGGTTATAAATCTAGAAGTTCAAAAGCTTTGTGAGTTCAACAGTAGACTTATACAGAGCTAAGATGTGTGTGCCAGGAGGTCTGAGTCACAGAGACTTTGGTCTTTGGCCATTCTTGATAGCTGTGAATGCTCTCTTTGCTAAACGGGGACATTTAACAAGAATTAAATGATGCCTGCAGGGTTATTGTGTTTATTGAGCAGAACTGAAATAGCCAGCAGCACATAAACATGATTTGTTCACTATTGCTCATAGACACAGCATAACCTGCCCTTCCTGTTTCTCATGAATGAGGAACAGAAAGAATCAAACACTGATGTTCCCAAAGAAGTTCTGTGCAAACAACACTCAAGTGGTCATTCATAGCACAAAATTGTCCCCTTCTCATCACTGGTAACTGAAGGACATATTAAGGAGAGGTGCAAACAGAGAGGCTCTGCAGAGGAAATGAAGATGCCAAACCATCTTCACAGCTTGTCAATGTGATAGCACCATAGTCTCTGGCAGTCTCAGCTTTATAACAGTGAAGTTTATTAACTATAGCAAGTGTGAAAGAAACTCTTATTAATCGAAGACTGCAGTTTGTCTCTTCCAACCCAAACCATTCTATTATTTAAAAAAAATGCTTAAATGCTGCAAAAAAAAAAAAAAAAAAAAAAAAAAAAGCAGTGGACAAGTACTAATATTTGCATAATAAAACCGAGATGTGAACTAGCAGAAGGAAGAAGCCAGAAATAAAATACCTCCTGCTAGCCAGGAATAGGAGTCAGAGGTTAGAACATCACACTATGAGCAAACTGCAAACAAAAATGCATGCCGGATTTCAAGCAGCTCTGACTCAAAGGTGCTTGACTGATAGGAGGCAGTTGCTTGCAGAGGGAGGCACTCCTGAAGGACAAAGGAGTCCAGGAAGGTTGGATATTCTTCAAGAAGGAAATCTTAAAGGCACAGGAGAAAGCCATTTCTATGTGCTGAAAGATGAACTGGGATGGGGGGATGAGTGGCCTGGCTGAACAGAGAGCTTTTGCTGGTACTCAGGGAGAAAAAAGAGAGTCTATGACCTTTGGAAGAAGGGGCAGACAGCTCAAGAGGACTACGAAGACGTTGTGATGCTATGCAGGGAGAAAAGTAGAAGGGCCAAAGCCAAATTAGAACTTAATCTGGCTACTGTGGTAAAAGACAATCAAAAAAGTATAAATACATTAACAACAAAAGGAGGACTAAAGAGAATATCCATCCTTTATTGGATGTGGGGCAGGAAACATAGTGACAAAGGATGAGGAAAAGGCTGAGGTACTCAGTGCCTTCTTTGCCTCAGTCTTTAGTAGTAAGACCAGTTGTTCTCCAGGTACCCACATCCCTGAGCTAGAAGACAGGGATGGGAACCAGAAGGAAGCCCCCATAATCCAAGATTATGTAGCACTACACCACTTAGACATATGTCTATGGGGCCACATGGGATCACTCCAAGGGTACTGTGGGAGCTGGTGGAAGCATTCACCAAGCCACTTTCAATCATTTATCAAGTACTGGCTAACCAGGAAGGTCCCAGTTGACCTGAGGTTATCAAATATGATGCCCATTCACAAGAAGGGCTCAAAAGACCTAATGAAGGGTATGGAACAGATCATCTTGAGTGCCATCACATGGCATATTCAGGGTATCCAAAGAGATCAGGCCCAGTCAGCATGGGTTTATGAAAGGCAGGTCCTGCTTGACTGACCTGATCTCCTATGACCAGATGACTTGTTTACTGGATAGGGGAAAGGCTGTGGATGTTGTTTACTTGGACTTTAGTAAAACCTTTGACACCATTTCCCACAGCATTCTCCTGGAGGAACTGGCTGCTCCCCACCATTTTCCAGGTCATTGGTGAAGATATTGAACGGTGTCAGCCTCAGTGTTGAGTCTGAGAAACAGCTATTTAATTATGCTGCCAGCTAATCATAGTCATAGAAGGAGTCCTTTACCTTTTGGCTATCTGGTATATCCAAATGTCTTCCTATTTTCCCTCTTCCCCTCACTTTCTATCCAGATCCATATGCACACACACACATTCTGCAGAATTAGGAGTTTCTGTTACAAAAATTGACAGTAAAGGAATTTGAAGCAGAATACGTGATTTTTGGCTCTTCTGAATAGCTCCATTTTCACTCACCTTTTCAGGTTTTTCCTCTAGTGTAAGACAAATCCAGACACAGCAGCATTGCAAGCTCATCTGCTGGGTTATCACTGCATAAGACTCAGACCTGAGAAGAAATATACAGGAGGTTTTTCAGGTGAGTGTACTACAGGACACAAAAAGCTTCTGTTCCCTATAGTCTCATGGACATCGTGTAGGCGTCTGAGTGAGCCAACTCCAAGTTCAGGGTGAAAATGATGTGCCGTATTCTTATCTTCCTCCTCTGGCTTCTCCTTCTTTACCCTGTTTTCTGAGTGCTCTGCGCATATTTCTTCAGTACTGTAATACTTCTATTTTAGATTTTTTTTGCCTCCCTGATTTGTCAGATGTTGGAAAACAGCTTTGTTGCCATAGGCTGCTCATCAGTTCAGACGTACAGTCTCTTCTGATTATCAAAATAACTCTGAGAGGGGCTCTAGTTCTTTGTTCTGTTACCATGGCATCAAAGATTTTTTCTGCATCATGCCTAAAGTATCATTCTTAGTGCCTCTCCTCAGTACTGGGAGGTGGTTAAACTATTTGGCATGGTCCTCCTGTGTACTTTAACTGCATGCACTGAATTCTTTTAGTTGTTTGCATCTGATATTTGAGTGAGAAGTGGTAGAGGAAGGAGAACATTCTGTTTTCAAGAATCTATTTGAAATCCACCACGTTTAAAGTTTAAGATCTTTCTTAAAAAAAAAATATGCTTAAACTGATTGTGGTAAACTGGATGACACAACATTGGCAGACTCCTCTTGTATTTTGTTCCTTGAAGTTACATAAAGTAGGAAAGGTTGACTGGAAATCACAGGGATGTGACTACTCGGTGCAGTAGTCACATCCCTGTGTGACTACTGCACGTTGCTGCAGATCCCCTGCACGTCAGCTGTACACGTGACAGATGCACATGGAGCAAGTGCCTTGTGTTCTGGTTGGAAGTGTAGTTAACTGAGAAGGATATACATGGTAAGTCCAATATGTTGGGTTTTGCATGAAGGCACTGGAGATGCTTTGTGCTCATACTGGGCATCTCAGTGGCACATAATACTACTTACTCATTGAAATTTTCCAGGTAGAACTATGGATGCTCAGAAATTTTCCAAGATATAGTTCATCAGTTGGATATTAGGAACAATTCCTTCCCCAGAGGGTGCTCAGGCATTGGAACAGGCTGCCCAGGGCAGGGCTGGAGTCA